TGTGCTCTGCATATTGGTCAAACACAGCTGGAAGCGCGCCTCGTCCGTCGATCAGACAACTGCGTTGAATTTCGTGTTGCTTCCGCCTGAAGTCGTCGTACTCTTTGGCGATGAGCATGGCTCCAAACATGCCCTCAAGACGAGCGAATCTAGCTTTCTTATTGTCAATTATGTCCGCGGCGGCTCGAGCAGGCGGATATTCAGTGATACGTTGAGCAAGCGTCTCCCTGATCCCATTTCGCCTTTTCTCGTGCAGCCACCTCTCAGTGTTCTCACGAGCATTGCGATACGCGATCTCATGTCGCGCCGTGTTGGGCTTCTTCTTGGGTTCGATCTCCACAGTTTGGGAATGGCCCTGCGAACCTCGTCTTCCTGGAGAGGCTTGAATCGATGTCGTGAGGGAGGGTATGTTGACCACGTCGACGACAGCAACATGCCGAGACGACGAACACAAAGCTTCCAATGGTTCATTGGTAGCAGGAGCGATGCTCCTATACTTTGGCGGTGCTGGAACTCGTCCAGGTGGTTGTAGTAGAACATCCAACTCCGGATTGCCCGTGGCAGGGACTTGGTCGAAGACCGATGCCAGTATATTTGCCAAAGCCTGGAAGGTGTGGATTGCGAGCTGCACATTCGAACGCACCTCGAGGGCAGTGAGGCATTGAACTCGAGCCAGAGCGTCACAGGCTTGGATCCTGACCATGATGGTAGGGAGAGAGTGTGGGAAAAACGGTGGAATGAAAAGAAAGAACGATTCGGACCGGAGTGAGAGAGACTGCAGATGGATTACAACACATTAGCGTGAAGGTGGGACCCGCGTTCAGCCAATCATGAGAGCATGGCTCCGTAGCCACCCCGGCTATCACACGCCACCGACCAATGATATTTATTCCGCCACGGTGACGAAATAAATATCATTGGTCGGTGGCGTCCTTGTCGCAGTGAAAGACATACTATGCTCTAAGTATGGTGGGAGACGGAAATGGACCTGCACTCCACTTCGACGTGATTTTCGATTCTACACCTCACTGCACATATAACCATGCAGAAGCCCACTGGTTGCCTTGTCGCTCAGCGCCCGACTGTCGTGCGTTGTCCATCATGGAAGCACCAATGCTCATCTGTACGATTCTTAGTACCATCAATCTGATGCTAACCTTCATCCCCTTGCTAGCATCCGTTGGTGCCATCCGATCCGCCTGGAAGGACAAGATTAAGTCGACGGAGCCGATACCATTTCGCCGTTGGGTCAAGAGCTCCTCTGAGAGGATTACTCGTGTTGCTGGAGATTTAAGCCTAACGGCTCTAGCACTCACGGTCCTTGTGGCGGTTATACATCAATGGGCTCTGACGGCCACCATTCAGTTCGTCCGTGTCGCAAAGTTGTGGGAAGCGTCACTAGGGGTACGTTCATCCAACCTCGCGCAGAATGTGTTTTAAGCTGTGTTAGGTATTCAGCTTCATCGGCGTCACTTGGAGGTGCTATCTGTACAGTAGGAACCGGCGGTTGCTTGGAATACTATCATTCTTCATCTGGGTGGTGTTTACGCTGGGGTTTTGCATTGCCTTCGTCCTCGTGTACGTTGTTCTTCGATGGCTGGGGCATGGAATTGACGAAAAATTTTTAGTGGTCACAACCTTGGTCTGTGGTTGTTTTCTGCAGACGTGACGGCCGCATGCCTCGTTCGGGCAGTCTGCGCTGTCTGTTTGCTTACGGAATTCAATCCGAAGTTGGAAGCCGAACATCTTCGCATCCGATGGTGGGGATGGTGGAATTGGAGGAGAGATGAAACGCCTCTTGGGAATGCACTGGTCTACGACCTGATTCACTCAGCTAGCATCATTACTATCGTCTGGGTCCTTCGGGCGTATGTGCCGCACAAGCAGAAAGAACCCTTCAGTTACTTCGAACTGAAGAATTACACAGTAAGCCCGGCGACAATTCCTAACCTTACCGAAATCTTCTGACCGGTGTTAGATACTAATGCTCATCTCCCACCTATTCCTTACCCTTGCGGCTTTGCCAAGGGCAATCCGATATTGGTCGCTTGGACGAGTTCAACACGAGGCCGAGGCGATTGACAACAGTTCGCCCAGCCAGGAAAATCTCAATGGGGGAATAGAACAATTATCACCACCATATCCCAACTCCCTGCATAAGAGCGAAAACGATGTCATTGCGGAGCCCAGCGATGCGACATGGTGAAGACGGTGACTGATTCGGGGCGCTGGTGAGGGACCCATGATGAGGTGTATCTAGTTAGATAGGCAGAGAGTCGGTCACGAGAAATCGTACGCGATGCTCCACATAAGTACGGAGATACGTGGTATGTTACAGGTGGTTGCAGGATATACCACTGTCGTCGGTTTTGATCGACCCTCCCCGAGGAGAATGTATAAATATTGCGAGGTGCTTCCCCCAGGACTCCAGAAGAAACAATACCTCAGCATAACTTCGGAAGATCATGAGAGTAGAATCTACCACCAACGGCGAGTCACATCTGTCGTTTCATTACATGGTGCATGGCAAAGCCGGTGGACCCAAAGATGGGAGCAGACCTTCGCAACATCACCCCACCCAAAGATCAGGATGTTATGAAGGAAATGCAGGATCAACCGTGGAACATCGACGATAAAAAGTTGAGTACCTCCCAACATAGTTTGTCATTCGTACACAGATTGACTACCTACAAAGAAGTATGCCCAATTTCATACAAACCGACATGAGCCGTGGGTATCTTCGGGCCAGCATACCAAATATACTCATCAGACTTGAAGTCCTGCAAGAATTGGGACATCAACTGGACAAAGAACTCCGCCACATCTTGGAGTTGGGAGGGAGGGCCGACAAGCTGTTGTTCATCTTGCGACTGTCCCCCAAGATGATGGACAACCCTAAGATCAGTGAACACGTCCAGGAACTAAGTGTTGTATTATACTTGTGGATTATGCAACTGAACACACCACCCTATCGACATATCTTTCATGAGATTTTCCCCTCGTTTTATCGAGGGCCTATTAAAGTTTGGCTCGACAAGGACGGTGAACGGACATTACAGGAAGGACCACTGACATTCTGGATTGTCGTGGATGGTCATATTCGACTCCGTGTGGGCGAGGAGGTAGGACTTTTGCCCCTCTCCATGTGGACCACGGACCGGAAGCTCATCATGTTTGACAAACTAGCGGTTTGTCAAACTCTGGGCGTGCTCTGGGACAGCCGAGGACAGAACCTCTTTGAACCGGTAGACCAAGATGGAAATTATCTGATAGCCACCTAACTAGGAACATCAGCCCCACAATTGCTTTCCTAGTCATTCTGCATTGGTTGATTTCTTCACATCAAGGTCACCAGAGTGGACGAGACTGCAAGATTGCTTCTGGGGACAACAAGAACACTGGAGTGTTGTGTTCTTGGACCGTATTAGACGATGGAGCGGAGTTTGTATCTTACAAGGGTTGGAGGAGGAGGATGAGGAAACAGCTTTCAAACATCGCCTGACTGGTTCAACGAGATTTACCCTCATTGGACAGTATGGTATTAGTTTGACCATAAATGGAGTTCAATGGGAAGTTATTCACCTATGTATATATGCCATGAATCTCTTGGTCGTCCAGGTTCGACATGTCCCACCATCCTTCTTGTTCTCAGACTCTTTCCAGTCAGCTTGATCGTTTACGTTGTTTGGCGTTATTTTGTCAGAATGGTCAGTACATGTTTGCCCGTGTCGTTTGCCCATGGATCTGATTCTTTCCAGCCGAGGCACACTTCGATCTCTGACACCGGAGTTCCACGATCAATGGCCAAGAATCTCCTTACGACGCTTATAGTTACTGTTTACTTTCCTGAAGTGGCCTTGTTACCGGACGGTATGATCATTGAGCATTCTTTCATCTCCGATCCGACCCTTGATCACCTTGTTGACCAATTTGACCGGGAAGAACAAAAAACTCTTTTTGCGCTCTATGCTCAATTCAATTCGACACTTGTCGCACGGTATTGCCGTACTGTTGTCGAGCTCGTTTTCGATTTCCTCAGCGATGATGATCGAGAGCTGTGGTTCAAGGGATTAAGCCGATCACTGGAAGCGTTGACACCTCGTCGTCGCACGGAGGCTACTGTCCTACTTAACAACCCCGAGGCTAGTCGGGCAGAGGTAGAGGCTGCAGGGGAGGCGGATCGAGCGCTGACCGCTCAAATCGATGCAATGGTAGGACGCACTCCTCAATTATTGGTGAGTCTCTCGAAGAAGGTTCCAGCAAGGCACGCTGACCAGCGAAAAGACGAAATGTGGTCATGTCATTCGCATTCAAGCCCAAGACGATCACAGAGATACAACTTTATTTGATGCGACGATGAGGATTTTGAATCGTTCCCAGATCACTCTACAAAGCATCGAGTGGATCAGTTCATTTGGTTACGACTTTGCTCTCGCGTGCCATAGAAACTACAACGCATTGAACGGTCCGCTTGTGAAGCACTGGCTGGAGGACTCACCATCGGGCACGGAGTAAGGTTATTCACCTCCCTAAGACGCGCTACTAACCCTGCTTAGTTTGGACATCTGCATGAGAGAGCTAGAGGGAGGAGGTCTATCCGGAATGACCAAGTGGCGATTGGCATTGTTCGCATCAGTGTGGCACCGGGCTCGTGTAATGACCACGAATGCTCTTGATGCGGAAGCCAAGGTCCTTCTGGATTTATGTGAGGTGTTTGCGACCCCGGTTCCCCGGATGGAGAAATACCTGGACGCTCGACTTCTGGATCTCTTTCAACACCATAAGAGATACACGGCGGCAGTGGATAGTCTTCTTGACCCTTTGATAACTATGGGCCATTGATGTTCAGGGAGGAAGTTCACCGGCAGAACTTAGCAAACTCGATCCTGCCTGGAAATTGACCCAAACTAGCAAGTAGCTCCGAAATGGGGCTTCTAAATGAACGTCCATCATGTAACGGTTGTGCAGCGTGTTAAAATCGATGCAGTAGTACGGATCGATCTGGTTCCTACACACGAACAACTGGGAAGCATAGATTCCATCTAATTGTAACCTGTTGTCGTCTTTTAACCAACCTGTCTAACATAGCTACTAAGACCATTGCCGATGCGAGTCTGAAAGCCTTTATCAGCACATTCGGGGCTCAGGTGAAGCGATCTGGAAAATCAGATCGCCGGGAATTCTCGACACACATCCTTGTCATTCAAGCCACGCATTGCCTAGACCCGTCTCAGGAGCTGAGGAAGGTCGCAAAGGAGGAAGCTGCCTGTGTATATCTCAAATCTGCCTGACGACGGGTCTGGTATTTGAGGCGCGGTGCTGCTTTCACTCCCTTCAAGCTTGAAGATACTCGGGTACCCGGGATGCAGCGATAGTGAGTTGATCCCACTCGCCTTGCATCGGCGTCATTCAGGTGTTCATGGTTTGCATTGCCTTTCAACAACGGGTGTTTTACTCCACCTACCAGGCACATATAAAAGGGGCTGCCCAACCTCGTTAACGTCTTGAGAATCCGTCGCCTTTCCTCAAAGTCCACATAGGATCAGCATTTAACTTAACAAGGCCGAGAATAACCTGTTCCGGTGGCCACCATGACAGAACCAAAACACAAGCTATTGGATCTGAGCAAATGGTCATTCGATGCCCTTACTCAACAGCTGCCCGCCACATTCCCGGCCGACTGGGGTCAACGTGGAGGCCTTTCTGTGGGGAGCAACAAATCCAACCTGCCGCTCACTCTCTGCTGGGATGGCCGCGAACTGCTCATTCAAATTACAGACGACAGCTGGATGGCTGAAGTGAAAGAAAGTTGTGATCCTGCCTGGCGTAGTGTGCTCGAGCATAGTCAGAATGGAGTTCGTTTGGACAAAATGGTGCTTCTGATATATCAGCTGCTGGATCGAACAAATATAGGCAGCAAAGAAACCCTCTATGGTGTGTGGCGAGATATGAAAGCGGTCCTGTTGCTGTGGGCAATAGGCCATCGAAATCGAAATATGATGGAGGCATATTATATGCTGTTTCCAGTTGCGTACATAGGAGAGCTCGTGACCATCAACAAAGGTGTTCAAGGATATCTGTGCAACTGGTCTCCACAGGAAAGAACCAAATGGGGTTGCAAGATATCCCAGCAAGGAATGATGATGGTATTTGAAATTCCCTGGCATGAACTTGTCAAAATACCAAATTACGTCCAATCCGCAGGCGAAATGGGCAAATTGCTCAAAGAGCTTCTCGAGGCCGCCGGGCTTGACTCCGGACACGTCAACTGAGCAATGGGCCATCATCATCATCAAGGGACCAATTCTTTCGAAAGAAAGACATATCTTGACTTGGGTATGGAGGCCGTGAAACATCGACATGTCAAGGGCTAGGTAACCAGCCCTGCAACAGAGGATCAGGGTATCGCTAACACGATCGCTTTAGTTCGAAATAATCATGGCTCGCCCGCTGGGAACGTTTCGGCTCCCGATAAAACCATGAGACTTTGGCCAACGAGTTAAATGGCATTTCTTTTCGCTGTCGACTTCGTATCCCCTTGATCCGGGGCGCTGGTGAGATCCTCACGAGAGATGTCATCAGAAAAGTCACTCTAGCGCGGTCGGGGAGGGGGGGGAGGCTAGCTTGGCAGGACTAGTTGCTGATGGCTCAGCAGATCGGTCCTGAGAATCTTGATAATCGAGATAGAACACTGTCCCTTCAAATTCAAAGACATTCTTTTCTCCTCTTTGCGGCGGAGCCACCCCTTCATCTGCCCTAGGCCTCAACGTGAAGGTAGCTTTGCTACGTTCACGACACCAGGGCAAAAGGAGAGAAAGTCATAATGCCTGCTGCTCTAGAGGGCGTCCCCTTAATTACGTGATGGGAGATAGCCATCCTCGCTTGTGTGAGCTTGGCGCTAGTTCGAAGTATCCTGGAGCCTCCAAAGCGTTCATCTCTTCCCTTGAATTCTCGACCGAAGGGGCCGTGATGGTCAGCGAGGAGCAGGCATCCTGTGGCTATTGACACGCATTTAAGATCACTTGCCGCGATAAGAACACTCTCGTTCCCAACTTGCCGTTGTCTCTGGCACCCTTACCTGATTCTCACATACAATTAAACGACAGGTTGATTACAAGGCTTCGTCGTACTCCAAACCTACGCACTCGCGCCGGCTTAACCTGGAGTAACCGTTCGAATATCGTCTACCATCGTCAACGAAGCAGTCAAAGTACGGCACTCTTGGCAGAGATGAGGTTCCAATCTTCCTGTGAAACGACTATACGACAACATGGCAACGCATGCAACTATTGTCGCTCGCGTAGGGTGAGATGCGACCGCGGGAAGCCATGTTCAACTTGTTTGAAATATAAAATCAAGCTGTATACTTCCAGTATTCAGGCCACGAAAGCACCATCTGAAGCTTGGTTCTGGCTTTGGAGTTTTCGACCCAGGTTATATCAAAGGTGAAGACACCGAGCTCTTGAACTGGGAAGCAGCCGAAAAAACGCAGCACGCAGCTTTAAGCAGGTCCGACCACCCTTTGACCATCGTTACCTCGGGAAAGGGAGACGAGACAAGCAGTGATCATGAGGTCAAAAAGTCGATGACCATAAGCGACCACGAGCTACAGGCAGGAGTTCAGAGCGTCGACTCGCAGACATTCAATCAATCCATCTCCCCAAGCCTCGACACTCGACCATCTCGAAAGGAGCTTTCCTGGGAGAGGAATGGGGTTATGATGGATCAGTCTCCGACAACGTTGCCAGAAGTCAGCCATTACCCCAGTTTCCCTGGGACAGCCAACACTGTTCCGGTAATGGAAGCACCTTTCCTATTAGGCTCCGCGACCATAAGCATCGTACCGGGAGGGCTGACCTCCGTTTCTCTTCCTCAATCTCAGACATCCTGTACTGAGAGCATGGGTACAGAAGATGCGCAATGTCAGGAGCCTTATGTTATTCCGAGCGAAGTTTTGCCCCAATTCCCGTCTGCCTGGAGCACAACCATATCAACCGATGGGGGACCATATAGCTCACCGGATACGGTCCGCACGGCCAATATAGCTGGTCCTCAGAACGAAAACAGTACCGAAATTCCTCTGAAGTTGGCTCTCGGGGCAGAACCGTGCCAAGTGGACAACATGTCGCAAACAAGTCTCTCTAAGGGTGATTCCTACTGGCGGTGTGGGTGCCCACGAGAAGATCATATCACCTTTCGTTGCGACCACACGTGTTGGCTCAATCTAGAGTGCAGTCTATATCTTGCGAGAGACTTATCGTTCATTTCGGAGTCTGTTGTGGCGATCTTATCCGTTCTCACACCGCAGCATAGCTCAAGATATACCTTTTATTGGTCTCATCAGAAAGGGATTTGCGGAACTTTCCGGTCGAACTACCTAATGTCCCAGAGTCCGTTTTGGACCGGGCAATGTGATTTTTCGCTTGCCTGGGTGTATGAACAGTTGGTGCGATTGCCAGCTAACTTCACGCGGTCAGATATGGAACGTGCCGGGTTGATGGTCGTGGTGATGAAGCTGAGAGAGTTTGACGTGATCCACTCGAAGGTATTCAAGGAGGGCAAATTGATTATTCCCAGCTTCCCAGAGGACAGAAATCACACTGAAATACAAGAATTGATCTCTCACGGTCCACGTGTTGAACATGATTTCGCCTTGGATACACAAGACACCGACGGTGGCAAGTACCGAAAGAACAAGCAGAAAGCGCCGAGGAAAAGGAGATGTCAAGGACTCCGGACACGAACGGGTTGTCTCACATGTCGAAAATCCCATATCAAGTGCGATGAAGTAAAGGAAATCTGTGGTCGCTGCACCAAACTACATCGTACCTGTATCTATGAGGAAAGCAATGCGGAACGATGACTGAAGGAGTCGTCGACTTACTGAATGGCTTTGGCCTTTGCTGGCAAGCATATTCAGTTACCTTGATCTCGGGGAGTGACTTCATGATCAGTGGCAAGAAATTGGCTGTGATGTAGTTTTTGATGGGTGTTTTCATTTCAAATGATCTCTTCGCCGACTACCCTTCTTGTTCGTCGAACAAAGGTTTCAAGTTTGACTGTCGCACTGGTCGATAAGACGTAAAGTTAACTTGTGCACCACGGTATCTAACCAATCTGCCCTGCCTGCAAAATGGGGTGCATGCTGTTCTAGTCCTGTGGCATCCTAGAGGATGTGTTTGCAGCCACTCTTTACCTCATACCATGTAGGTGCCATTGCCACGAAAAGACACGTGTTCAACGCGTCAATTATCATGAATCTCAAAATTTCGATCTGTGAGTGGTATCGATCAGGTGACCGCGCGCACCCTTTGAAAGGGTGCCCCAGGTGTTGAAGGCTTGGCAGTCAGAAACGCACCTCAGGATTATCAACTTGTCTCTGTTTCCTCTACTCATGGAGGCTGTTCCTCTTCCTATATAAATTACGTGTAGAGAGGATCTAGAATGGCCTTTTCCGCATCTCCTGAGGCCCTTGTTGAGCTGAAATAACTAGCAGAGGACCCTGTCCTACTGAGGTTTTGGTCCTTGTCGAGCTGAGAACTGCACTAGTGGTAAATTGCGGTACGGTGAATCATTACGGCGAGTATATGGGTCTTGGCAGCAACACCAGGATTGTTGCTTGTAGTACGCGATACGTGACCTGAGATCCAGCTAGTCCTGAGATCCAACTAGTCCTGAGCCATTCCTTCCCATCAGCTGTGCGATACACTTTCGTCGTTGAATTTAATAGCTCAGGTAAGTTTGCGTGCATATTTCCATCATTGGATAGGAACGCCACAACTTGGCGCTCTTGTGAGTACCTTGCACTGATATCTCCTTTCGTGTGGCTGGCCTGGGGACCGTGCGAGGAAGTCGTCACTCAGTTGATCGCGAAGCAATCACGCGCCTTTTGACGATTGGGGACCCGCAGAGGTGTACAGTGTCCTTCAATCTCCACCAGAATCTCCTTTGCCACGCATCATTACCTGCATGAGCCGCCTCCTCTCTGTCAGCGAAAGGACAATATCTATTTCATGCCCTGGCTGCATATTGTCAGCCTTGCTCGCCCACTTTCTCATTCGCATGGCCATCTCCAGCTAAGTATTGAGTCTCAACGAGAAACGTCGAGCAATACATAAAGCAAGCATAGCGCTAGCACGCTGCGACATTCAAATTGGGCAATGCAAATCACCTCTCAACACTCCTCTCATAATGTGACTTTGAGCCAGAGGTGCACGGCCTCAGTGCAAATCGTCTGGTGGTCAGGTGGCCTGTATCCATGGGTTCAGTTTCTCACAGAGCGCTATCATACCGAGGGAGAAAGTCTTTGTACGATCACTGTTTGAAACAGGCTGCGCAGGGCATCGAAGAATCTAAGAAGAGATATAGGTGCAGTGGTGGAGGTTGGTGGATTGCAGCAGACTTGAATCGACCGGACCGATTATGGGGAGGAGATGATGTTCCCTTGGAAGAATAGAGCGAAGCCAACCTAGTCATCAATCTAATGAGCAGCTTCATCTGGCGGCCTGCTCGGAAGAGGGACAATGCTGTGGAGAAAACAGTTAGGTGGAGCCAAGCTAGTCATTGCTGAAGTTACCCGCACCTGAGAGGGGCGGCGCAGTTTCGATGAAATGCGGCATTGGCTTGGCGCATGACGACATGTCTTTCATTCCCGCTGATCTACATACTTCGCCTTCGTATATAAACACAGCCACTGGTGCTTGGATGTGTTCTTGTGCCTCGCCATGGTCGCTTAACGTGCCAGCATCGAAGATGAAAACCTCGGATGAATGCCAAAAGATTTGCGAGAGACTTTTTGGAATTCACCTTAATACTGTAGCAGTACGTGAAAGAAAGAGGTTGCTAGACGACAAAACCCATTAATTCGGATGCCCTCTCGGTTCAGCGCACCAACTCTGATAGTCAATACGTTCCATCCACCTCAGCAAGGATCGCACCGAAGAAAATTTCCCCTTGACCAGTGACGAAGAGCACCCGGGGTTTGGTAATACTACGAAATTTCGTAACTTGAAGGCAGTTCCAATTATGAGGGTGACTGGTATGAACCCTGGCGTCACCTAAATTCACAAAACCCGAAGATATGCGCACCTTTCACAGACAACTCTCGGAGATGTATTCGGTGTCTATCCTTGTTTCACATGAAAGCTTCGTGGATGAGTGTGCGACGATATTCGGTACAGCGTTTTTCAAAATTAGCCTACTCGAGAAGCCAGACGAATTTTGGGCATCGGTTGCAGTGCTTCGCCTTCGACTTTCCCTGCAAAATAACAGTAAGCATCATATTTCCGCTCCATATCCCCAAGAAGAAAAAATTGATCTCGACTGCTTTCGTAACGGTTCGGCTTCTTAGACTGAGGCATAGGCATATTGAACGTCATGCACCAGCTTGCATCAAGTTCAATATGTCTATGGCTGAGTCAACTACTACTATAATGTTGCAGGCCGTTTTTCATTTTTGCATCTCGCCAAGCGCCGTTATTTACATTCTCTACGAGAATCTAGTTGCTCTGGTCAAGCTTCGCACAGAATTAAGTGTAAAGCAGGCTGGGAAGCCATCAGATCCAATCTCTGTCAAGGAGCCGCAAAGCTGCCATACCTACAAGCTGTGATCTAAGAATCTCTTCGAATCCACCCAGCGATGGGTTTCCTATGCCTCGAGTTGTCCCTGACGGCGGGGTAACAACATCTGGACGATGCTTCCCTCAAGATGTCAGTACTGCCAACCAGACCAAAACTTCCGCTAACAGTAGTGGGCTCTACCAGCTTTGTTGCCAGCCAACAGCCAACGGCTAAGACACTTCACGCTCCCCATTGGGCAAAAGTCGTCGTTGAGTTACCAGCGTCTGACTCGTCAAACGGTCATGGAGGGTTATCGAAATTGCAGATAACCCATGACTGTGGTTGTGCCTCGCCTGGATGGCAGAGACTGCTGGGATACGAGTCTCCCCCGAATTTGAATCGAACGTTCGAAATACCATCCAATCCAGGTTCCATCTTGAGGGCATCCCAGGTCACCTGCAGCTCGGACATCCTCCATCCCATCAAACGTTAAAACTCGAAGAGTCTCGTCGAGAGGAATGATGTCATTCTCAGTCCGGCCCCTGAAGATATCTTCCGCCGCGGCATCGGCTTCCCAGCCAAATCTCAAGGTTCGATTTTTCGCCATAATGCGATATACAGTCAACTCTAAGAAAGCGCTGAAGAGTTGCAACAGCTGCCACCATCTGGCCATAATTATTAGAAAGGAATATTCGATAACGGTCCTCAACCTGTTCAAGACTTTGGATGGCGTGAGATGTAACTTCGCGAACCTTGAGAACGACAAAAGGGCATGGACCGGATTGCTACACTCCCTGCGAACGCGGGATTTGACCTTCTAGGACCTATTTTTGAAGATCTTCCACCATTGTGACAACAACTTCTCACTTTAGCCAAAGGCTATTTCCATCGCTACATCAAGCCTGAAAACGTGTTACGACACACCGGTAAGTGGGGGACAATCGTCTATAACTGGGTTTGAACTCTCCAGATATTGAAGGAGTTCGCATAACCAAACCATAAGTCACAAGCCTGCAGCCAGCCCCGAACACCTTGGTAGGCACCTGTCGCTACGCCAGCATCAAGAAATTAAGCACATCAAGATGACTACCATTTTTGTCTTCGATCTGCAACGGCCAAACCTACAAACCTAGAAGGATTATTACGATATTGCGGCGATCAATTCTGACAGAAGACCCCACTGTTGCTGGCTGATAAACTTCGACGCTTTGAGATTTTTCATTTAAACCTCATCCTGAACATTTTTCACCTGGCTTCGTGCGGGAGTCCTGGTAACCGACACTTTGGCCTGGTCCTTTATCCCAGACGTTGGTTTCTGCTTTGACGTGCCTCATAGTTGGTGCCGATCCGCCGTATTATGGTATTCTAGAGGAGTCAGGAGAATTGGCTTCCCTTTTTGTAATACCACGGACAGGTATCTCCATGACAATGACAAATCTCCCACAATCTCTATGCCATCTAGTACTTCCTGATTCGCCGACTACGTCGAGTCTCTCCATTCTCAGTTTTGACACGCCAGTTCTCATGACAAAGGTTGGTCGGACGTGATGGTTGCTGGGATACACCCGCCGTCCACCCTTCACCATCCCGCTTACCCTCAGAGAAACTACCTCGCTTTCGCTTTGCGTCGCAGCGCCTTAGTTCAGCCATTGCTTTGTTGGCCCTCTCCATCCGTAGCAAGCACTTGACAGCTGCAGATCGTCGAGAGCTTGAGTGGGTCTCAAGTTCAAGCTTGCGTTCAAGTGACTCACGGTGCTGGAGTTCGACCTGATGTAACCTTTGGTCTTGCTTTCCAATCTCTTTTTGGAGTTTGCTTCTCTGAACTTCGGATTCGTTCACATCGATGACCGTTTGGCCATGCCCAAGCCTAGCCGCGGTGTCCAGTAGGCCTTGGTACAGTATCAGCTGTTCCTGATTTGCTTCGAACGTCTGACGCAGTGAACTCAGCTCCTGGTCGAGAGACTTGAGGGCTTTTACCACATCTACGAGTTCATTTTTGCTTTCCCTGCAATGTGCAGCGTACGCGCAGAGTGATTTCCCCACCTTCTTCTTGGCCTTTTGGAGTTCCGCGTGAACAATCTTTCCGGTCTCTAGGAATTCGATACACCTTGCTTCTGCTGGCACAGTCGATTCAGTATCACCCCAGTCCACCAAACCTGTTCCAGCAACGAGTGGGCTAATCTCAGAACCATAGGCTACCATATGTCAGCAGCGGATCGCCATGCAGTTTTCGTTCATCTTCTCACTCTGAGCGACGTGGCCTAGAAATAATCTCCACCAACCCGAATCTATATGCTCGAGGGGATTCATGTCCAGAAGGAGGCATAAACCATTCACGATCACATGGATTCCACAATCGTGGTGGTTCGTTTGCGCCGCACAGCCCTAGCCATTTAGTATCCACCCAGATTGTTACGTAGCATAACACACCATTTCGGTGGGTTGTTGGAGTGTCAAGGAAGGTAGGCGGGCAACCGCTGTCTTCATCAGCTCGAGGATGGTCTTCGCCGAGGTCCTCAGAGAATCATAAAAGCAAAAGGAGGCCGACCGTCTCTCATCCCATGCTATGAACGTAAGCACCCAGTGATTGTTATTGACGAGAAGAGGGGCCAGGATTAACGTCTGGTCCTGAACCAGTCTTGGAGAACACTTTGAATTGGCGTCATAAATGATGTGCGATAGGATCTGATTGCGGCACAGAGTGAACAATTGTAGGGTATCAGAAATCTGGCTTCCGCTCAACCAAGCTTTTGTGCCCTGATTTCGACCGTTCTGCCTTATCCCCGGCTTTGTATCGAGTGTTTTTGGACTTTGCCCTTCATAAACGACCGGAAGGGACGAGTCGTTATCTTCCTAATCTAGGCGCTTACTTAGATTTACGGATAGCATCGTCGAAGTATCTCGCTTTATTTGTATAAGTGCGGTCGGTAAGTTCAGCTTACTACTATGGTTAAGGCCGACCTAGCTCGCCAAGAAATTTATTTAACATGAATTGGACTCTGAGGCTAACCCGCAGTGGCTCCAGGGTCGCACCGTAGTTAGCGCGCTAAACGATAGCTACTCTACAGTACCCTACCACATGGGGGACATCAACAAGCCCGACAATCACTATCTGTACAGCCAAAATGATGATCAGAACGGGACTGCTGAAGCGATGAAGACTTCACGATGAATCCTCCCGAGCTGACTGAAGATATTCGTAACTGCCTCAACTCCAAGCTGGTGGTTTGATGTCCCCAGCGTAGGATGCGTGTACGAATTTGATGTCCAGGGTTTCCGCCGGTGGTCAAGCCAAAGAGCTATCCACGCCATCAGAATCATAATCACGCCCAGTGATGGGACCGCTGAAGGATTCGCGCGAAAGATCACCCACTATTATGGCGGTATCTTCGTGGAAGCCAACAAAGATCAAGCTCCGCATTGAGCTCCAAGAAAACTTGTCCCAACGACGAGGAAACGAAGGGAAGAAGCAGATGCGACAAAGTGAACAAGCTGGCTGAGCCCTTGGTTCCACACAACCAACACCAAGACCTAGATGCCAATACCCCACTCAAACCCACAGCACTGGCAAACGAACCCCAGTTACCACAGTTGTCTCAGCACAATGCTGACACAGTCAGCAATCTAAATTTAGGTTTCTTGGGGAAAAAATAAATATTTTTGCCTCTATTAATAGCGATTGCTATTTTTGAAAGGTGGTACCCCAAAGCCCAACGGTCTCGTTGAAGAAGCATAAAGAGTAAGCGCGCTAGGAGGGTTTTCCGACCATGACCTCTCGTGCCTGACTAAATTCTGGAACGGGCTTTCCAGAACTTTTTCTCGGCTGTACTCTTCCGAATCTTTCCCGCTCTTGGCATTCTCAAATGGAGCCCCTGTCTCCCACAAACCATACCACCTGCCAAAGTTTTCAGCGCTTCATGATTGAAATCCTTGACTTTCGCACTGACAGTTTTTGCACATGTCTCACTGACGATTGTAAAATACTATGTCAGCGTTATCCTGATGTGGCTAATCAGATCCTCGCCTGCTATGCCCAAGTTGAAGAATTTCGTCGAGCTCTTCTGCCGTCATTTCGAGATAGTGAGAGGCCGCGTCATCGAGAAACATACTTCAATGGAGATGGAAACATTCCTGACAGTATCGGGCCTTCTCCAATGCTCGACCCGAGAACAGCTTCGCCCGGAAGGAATGACTCATTAATAAGTGCAGTTGAACACACGGATTTTCCAGAATACAACTATAATCAAGGGCAGACGAACTTTGTCCCCGCTTACTGGGACACTAGCTCAGAAAAAAGCGTTGATACTACTAACGACGAAGATGCACCGAGCAGGACGGATGAAATCGGTGAATTGGTCGATCCGAACGCTGGCCTAACAATTCTATCACCCATGATGGTTGACTCAAATTCTCAATGTAAGAGCGGTCAAGATCAATTCCTTGACAGAGAGTCGGGTTCCGAAATTGATGTTAATTTCAACCGAAGAGCTCGTGGGTATGGCACTGAAAACATTCCAGACACACAGAATTATAGATCTCCTAGTATTGATTCTGTGCCCCTCTCGCCACAAGACGAAGCACAGTGGCAAGGAGGAACCTCATCTGTGGATTTCGAGGCCTATAACGCAGAACAAGACGAAGAAGGAAGCGAGAGCGAAGTACAAGCTGCCGCTGAAGAAGGTATGGAATATGGAGATGCCGCTAGGAGCGGTAGTAGGAAATACCAGAACGACGAGGCGCAACGTGATAACGAACCACAACCAGATAACAAGGCAGAGCAAGAGGACGAACCACAACAAGAGGACGAACCACAACCAGAGGACGAACCACAACCAGAGGAAGAACCACAACCAGAGGACGAACCACAACCAGAGGACGAACCACAACCAGAGGAAGAACCACAACAAGAGGACGAACCACAAGAGGACGAACCACAAGAGGACGAACCACAACCAGAGGACCTACCACAACCAGAGGACGAACCACAAGTGGACGAACCACAACCAGAGGACGAACCACAACCAGAGGACGAACCACAACAAGAGGACGAACCACAAGAGGACGAACCACAACAACAGGATTCTGAGGAGCACACAGACATAGAAGAATCGGATGACGAGGACTACGAAAGCCAGACTTCTAGCGCGACCCCGACTCCAGCACCACGAAAACAGTTGAGAATTTCTGCGAGGAGGGCACCTGCTAACTCTGTTGACAAAAAGAGACGTTCAGCCAATCATCAATCCAACAAAAGACCTCCTGAGGATAGCCTTCCTGAAGTTCCTCCCTCAAAACGAACCAAATCGGCAACCCAGGTGGAGAAGGAGCTCCGAACACCAGGTGCTACTACTAAAAACTACTCGGAAAACGCCGACGATCAGTCCTTTTGGGAGAAGTGGGACATGGAACGGGCAGCTATGACCAACGAAAATCAACACTCTGAGTGGTCTGTCAGTGGTGTCCGGGTATGGAGACGTCTCTCTGAGAAATACAGTTCAGGATCTTCGCGCGGTCGAAAGGGACGGGAGACGCCCCAGCGTCCTGTAGGTAAACTTGCCACGATGGTCCTAGCGGTCGCCAATTGCTATGCCTTTGAGACGCTGAAGGAGGCCGTGGGCTTTGTGCAACATCACAGAGCAGAAGCGACGTTTGAAATTTTCAGTGACGATCCCAAGATTCTAATGGAAACCGTGAATACTATTGAAAAGGGAGGCCACTTGAACAGCTACATCCGACGATTTACATTGGCGCGTTTGGCCAACATTTACCTGGGATCAGTGGCCAATGGGGGACGACTAACACTCGACGATGATAGAGCGTACCCGTCCCAACGGGCCGCGGGAACCAACGCGCACAAGGCTGCGTCCTACAATGCTATGATCCTACACATCTGGGGGGTGCCATTCCCTGAACAGAACAAGGGTGCCAAAATGACAAAACGAGGCTTGATTGATTCATCTGTTGCTGATGCGTTGCAGTGGAATAAGTGTAAAGTCCGACTCCGTCACCAAATCGAGGCCGGCCAGCGCTGGCTTGGGCTGGCCAAAAGATTTGGCTGGCCCACGCTGGGCTTGATCACACGAGATTGGTCCGTTGGAAACAGGAAAGTGGTCGCCAGTGATACCATGTGAGTATTGTCTTTCAACGGCTACAGGAGAAAGCTAAAACGGTGACAGTTTCGAGGAGCTGTCGATTTCAGAATACGATCGCCTATTAGACGAAATTGACGCTGAGAAGGGGCCCTTCCTTCGACAAGTTGACACAGCGCATGGCATGAGACTTTTCGATATCTTGAAGGATCCGAATCGGGCGAAAAATCTTCGTTTGTTACAGCTGAACGACCAGGATATCACCAAACGAGCGGACAGCGATCCACAATGGATCAATGAGTTAACCTCAATTTCTGACAATCTAGTCTACTAGCTAGTCTACTAGCCTTAGATTACAGCCCTTTTCTCTTCTGTTGCTAGATAGTTGATTAGATCAAGGCGAAGTGACTAAAATGCTAAGACTGTTGCTGAGAATCTGTCTTGCACCTCGTGGCATGTTTGAATCTGCTTTTTCCTTATCACCAAAACGTCCGATCAGCCAGTGATTTGGGTTTTAACCACGGCCTGCTATTTGGCTTGTACTACTTGAAGTTCCACTCCCCATTGGCTAGGTAGTAGGTGATGCAACTGATGAACACCATACTTTGAGTACTAGGTGTTCTTTTTGGTGGTGTGAGAACGATATGTGACTAATTATTACTGTTCTTCGCACCCTGCCGCTGGGTGCGCCTCATGAAATATGAGGTTACATCAAAGGTCCTTTACAGTATCGCTTGCAGGGACCAAGGGTAGTTCAGAACAGTAGTAGCCCAGCATATCACTCCCCACGGAGAGAGAGGACAGGGTCACTGACAAAAACCAAACCAAACCAAACCAAACCAAGTCTCTATCGCTTGGCTGCAGGCTAAAGCTTCTATCAGTTTTGAAGTTGTGCGCAAGTCCCGCATCAAGCGACTGAGGCTAATCACCATGAACGCCGGTCAGTAACCCCCAACAATTGTAGGCACAGTTGTATGTAAGCCTGCAGAACAATACAAGGTGACATAATCTTGAACGTAATGCAACATCGTCCGGAAATTGGAATGTGGGAGACAATCACCATTGTCGGCATAGGGTATCTCTCAGGCTAACGAGACGCTGCCCACGTGAAGGGAGTACATAATAAGGACCTCTATCATCTTGAAATCCTACTACGTTCCAGCCCCGACAGCTAAGCTTAGAAGGGCGGTACCAAGAATAAAAACGCTGGATGGATTCTTCCTTGCGCTCAAGCCCGCCACTGCCGCCGTTTGTGTCGCTCCTTGACCGGTTGGCGTAGGCGACACCACCCCAGTTCCGGTCGTCACTGGCTTTGTTGCGATGACCGTGATTTGCGCAACTAGCGCAGTTACAGATGGAGCGTACGAAGTGCTCGAGAAAGCACAGGCCGACATGATGTCGTCCATATCTAATTGCGCAGTTTTGTTGTCAGCAGACCGAATACGCCATCCAGATCTAGACTCTGCATACCATCAACGGTACCATTTGCATTCTGCTCGATGCAGCTAGCACAGAGTGCCGCGATAGATGAGACGTTGAAGCTCGTATTGGTACAGATGCATTGAGATTCAATAGGCTCATCTGTTTCCGGAGTACTATCGCGGCCCCCATTCTCGCCAGGCCCGTTGTCAGATGGACGCGGATCAACGTCGCAGATGCCGGTCAACTGAACGATTGGCTGGCAAATTGTTGAGCAAGCGCCAGGCACGTCGCTGGCATTGAGTTCTTCAGTGGAGGAGATGGCAACAAACAAAGCAGTCTGAAGGAGTAGAGCGGTCAAAATTGCGAGATGCATGACGTAGGAATTGTGTACGCCAGGAAGATTTCAAAACTTAAGAGAACTCCGCTCGTTTTAATTTCCAGTTGGCAGAGGCTAGGTATAAATACACAATCTCTACCCAGGAGCCCGTAACACACGAGGGCATAAAACATTTGACTCATCCACATTTCCGCGGTCTCGTTCACTATCCATTCGTCGAGCTAAGAAGTTGAAGCATGAACAAGAAGATGCCAAAAATCAAAGCGTTTCGTTAAGCGTTTCGTTAAGCTCTTGGCAGGCCTCGGCAGCTTCTCCATCCACCACCCAGCCGCTACCTCCTTACACACGCTAAGACTTCACCAGCTGCGGGACATTGCTTGGCTTGGGCAGCTTTCTTGGCAGCCTTAAGTGAGATGCGTTTGTTCCGAAGAGTTGCCTTGACTTGAAACCAACGGCGCCTAATTCCTTACACTAGGATCTCATCCTGAAGCTACAGCGTATATTAGAATATGCGGGGTATCCACAAGAAGTTCTAGTCACCTGGGCCGCTAGAAATTGGCTACTTTCCCAGTGATCGAGATCTGTTCCGAAAGGAAGGCGGGGACAGCCCAAGAGAAGACTAGTGGGTAACGTTTGAAGACGACTTGTCGTGGCGTTTCAGCGTCCCCGGATGTCGAAAAGTTTGGGTGGGAGGATCTCCCCGCTGGGGCTTCTTGAGTATTTTGACTACGGTTTCTGAGTTCAAGATATCTCAGAATCCACAGTAGAGGGACGATCCGTTGCCTAGAACCTTTGATTCATTGGCTGTTGGGACCATAAGGTCTCTGCTGCCATTGGCGGTGCTCCATTCTGTTACTGCCAAAGAATCAGCTCTATTTGTCGATTATACGCCAAGAATTGACAGACTTTACGATTAAGCGAACCTGCCCGAGGATGGAGGCAGGTTCGACTACCTGTTAAACCTAATTATGAAGAGTGTTCGGCTTGGGCAGTCTACGGAGATAACGCTCGAGGGACGCACCCTATTGTTTGTATGAGAGATGGGAAGGAGGGGAGGCGAGTTTGAGAACTCGCGAAGAGGGCGCAACCATAGTTGCTCGCAGATGTCTGACACACCACACGGGGCATCTGGGTACGTTGAGGTGTCCTTGCCGCAGGGAAAAGGTAGAGGCCAACGGATTGAATGAGAAGGTGAAGAGGGGCCAGGTGTAGGGCGTGGGATGTGAGGATGACTGTGTTGGGATGGGTCGGCAGGGGCTCATTGAGCTGTGGCTAACGGGGTCAAGCCACAGGTGCAAGAGACTCGCAAACTGGCGGACGGCGTCGCTCAAAAAGCGAGTCCTCTGCACCACCAACTGGATTCTACGAGTTATTGAGCACAAAAAACTGAGGATACTCTTAAAGCCTAAATTCACTTGCTAGATCTCTCAAAAAACTACATTGCTAATAAGACACCCAATTTTCCGTTATGGTTGCAGAATAATCAGTAATAATAGCTTGAAGTTGGAATGCTGATGTCTCTATTTCGATGTCGAACAGGAGACAGTCTTTCGGACGCCCTATGCGGGCCGCCAACGGAGTAATTCATTCTGCTAAACGGCGCCTTTGACCGGAAATGCATCCCGCTATTCAAATAGCGAGCTTCAACTAGGTCTATGACAGAGAACGAGCCATTCTGGGCTCAAACCCCAACTTCTCAGAATTGGACCAAGGTTGGATCTCAAAAGTCTAATTCATGTTCTCCGAACTGAGCACTTAAGGACACACCCCTCGACCATGTATAGCTTATCAAGGATTATCCGTTCACGTCCCAACCAGTTCTTCTAGCATGTATCCTTTAAGAGTGAAGGGAGGACTTTCCCGGAACAAAAACCGCATGCCAGGCCCGCGGCCTTCGTAAGAGGGCAAGATCCCGCAGCGTTTTGGCGCGCTGGACGACATGTCGTAAACCAACATCTTGCCAACATTGGCATTGATGGCCAATCACCGCGTCCCAGCGCGAGACGAGACCAGTCACCTTCTTCGACGGGTCTTCACGGCAAGGAATGACAAGTATCAACGACGAGATAGAGGTACTGCCGACCGGAGAATTACAACAGCAGGACTATCGAAATGGGCCATCGCCAAAGACCGGACGCACAACGAGAGTGCGGGCGAGACAAAGAAGGTCACAAGAACCTCCGCGGACATGCTGGGAAGAAATCACATGGTTGGTCGCAAGTTTGCGCGATATGATCACAAAACAAAACCACACAATGGAAGAAATCAGTGGTGGCCAAATGCCTTAAGAGGCACACGAGAGAAGATTCAAACACAGCAAAATGAGCCACCGAGTACGGAGACGTGCTCCAAAAGTTGTGATCACACTTGTCGTGAATGACAGTGATTTCAAAAGACTAATGATTTGTCTTATTGATTGCACCTGGCAACGTTTCCCAGTGATACCGGAGGCCTTGGCTTGAAGCCTATGGCGCCTGTCGAATGCAAGGTGATTGATAAACTGTCAGCTAGTTATACCTGTCAGGTCATATTCACCACAGATAGATTTGATCTATAATCTGAAGATATCTCTTCTGTTTCGGGAAATATTAATGTACTATGGGATGCCATCTAGCGAGTTCACTCATTGTCGTTAATCCTCGGGTTCAACGTAAAGCCCGTTCTGCAGTGATTCGAGAGTAAGAATTGCTTCGAAGCTGTTTTCTCCGACTCCTGAGAACTAGCTCGAACCTCCTGTGTATCATCAATAGCTGCTCACATCGTCGACGCCACATTTGCATGCGGCAATGGCTTACCTTTCTTCCCTGCTTCAGAAGGTTCAACTTTGCCGTGAGCAAACTCGCCCTTTTGGCTGCCACCGCTGTTGCCACTACCACCACCGCTGGAGCTGGTGGTGCCGTCGCTGCCACCAGAGGTACTGCCTCCGGAAGAGAGACCGCCCTCTATGATCGTAGTCAGAAATTTATGAACTGGACCCACGCTCGATGCACTGGAGTAGACGTACTCTTGCCAGCCTCTTGCGGATCGACCTTGCCGTGGGCAAACTCTCCAGGGGCACTTCCTCCTGATGAAGACATTTTGTTTGATTTGTTGGAGACTACTTGAGTGAATGAAACATGTATCTAAAGGTTTGACTGGCTCAATAGCTAAGGTCAAGATCAGGAGGCTACACATGAGCCATAAGTAGAGCCAGTTTCGGCGTTAACTACCCCTCGTCATATGGTCAATGACGATGGTACTTGACGTCAGATTCGTCACGTTACGTCAATGATTGCTGGGGATGAGGTGGAACTAAACAAAGGTGAAATGATGCTGTTTCATGATGCAAGGACCTTGACTAGTTGAGGTCACGCCTTTCAACGACTATGATCGACAGTCGTACTCACTGACGAAACGAGTTGCAGGGCCGTGCACCGAGCGAGGAAGCACGGAAGTTTCCAGGTGGATGAAGCGGTTTTCAGTCTTTCTCTGTAGGCCGAAGAAATCGTACATAGAAGAAATGAAATTGTGGTATTGTCTCGATGCCCTAGGATTGCCGCGGAGCCGGGACGATTGCCAGAGATTTGGCGAGCTCAGGTCATACTAATGATCTGACGAAACCCGCACTGTCAGATCAACAGATGACTCCCTACCTACCACTTACTGAAGAGACTTAAGAGCATTTTACCGATACTGCGTAGCAAGAAAGGGGTGTCATGTGTTGAATCAATAAGATACCAATGCGGAGTTGAATTACCGCCCACAAATGACCTGTCTTCATTTGATTAGCAGATTATGCTCCAAGGTGTGTAAGGAAGCCAGTTATGTGACGTTAGAGAGGAAGTACTATCCTATCGTCTGCAGGAAATAAGCTTCTGGCTTCATCAGTCAAATGTGGTAGCTGTGGAGAAAAGCGGATGCAAATAGGAATGAACTCATCCTCGTATCTCTGCGGACTTGTGATAAATGTTCCAGGATCGTATTGAGCTAGCCAAGATGACGCACATTCCCAACTCCTTTTTGAGCCTCACTGAATCGAATTTATCCGGTTGACCATTAATCTGCTTTCGCAAATTGCATTGGGGAATTTGCTTGCCCGTAACTCCTTGACCAAGCGCTGCCTGCATGATAGAGACAATAGGCACAATCTTTGAAAATCCATCCGATTTCTGGAAAGTAAACCCCAACAGACACGACGACAGCGCTCCGAAGGTCGGTGTCTGCTTGTTGGGAGGATAGTCCGTACAGGAAAGGAGGGTGGGTTCGCCATGCACTAGTTCCGATTAGACGTTAGCGCTCACCCTAGTCGGATCGCGGGTATTGTTGGAGATTTACGGCAATGTTTGGCACTGGACACTGTCCGGGGCTCTCTTTTACCAAAATTCGCTCTGTTTTCTATCTAATGGCTGCTGTTCTCTCTTCTATATATAATTGATAGCTCTTTGATCTAGAACAGCCGATTTGGCATCCAGAGGAGTCAATAACTAGGTCTTTACATAAAAAATCCTGTAAAATCTCTGTGATGTTGCACTCTGAATGGATCTCTCTTGCCACGCACCTCGTGAGTAGGGTGCGGCATCCGCCGATTAGTGCACTACGGCGGAGCATGAAGGTCTTGGCAGCAACAGGTATACATACAATAAACCAAGAGTCGGACCTTCGTTACGAAAATACTCGGGAATTGTCGACAACGCCTATATCTCCCTTTCCGAGACTCTCGAAATCGAAATCGAACCCTATCGTCTTGAAGGCGGAAAAGCGCAGCTTGCGCAGCCGTCGCGTGGATGGCGACGGACGCGCCTACTGTTAACGGCTTGGCAGTAATTGGCAGTAGGAAGGTCTTCCTGGGCTTCAACTGGCACTGCACCAACGGATGTCTCAATTGTCTCTCTGTTCCTCTACCTAACGGGTCCTATCCTCTTCTCTCTATATGGTTGACTGCTCGTTGATCTAGAACATTCGAATAGGCAACTAGTGGAGTAAATAAGTGAGATCTCTGAGGTTGCTTGTTGAGTGCCTGTTAGGAGTTAGGTGCCTGTTACCACACACACCTAACTACGGTGCAGCAGCTATCTATTAGTGCAATACGGTGCATCAGAGGTATTGGCAGCAACATGATGAATGTCACATGACGTCACGTTACCTGACTACAGCAGGCTCATAGCCCACGATGGGTGAGCAGTTTCTTCGCGCACTAGTCACGTCAGAGGATAATATATTTAAAGCAAGTTGATACGTTGCGCAGTCTTGATATCCATAACATGCATTTTGTCATGCGACGCGCAAGCCAAGATGTAGTCCGCCTAAAATGCTCCAGAAGGAACGTCATGGCATGGGATCCGGGTAAAACGTCCGAATGAATTACAACCTCCTCTGCCTGAGATAGGCAGTCGTAATTTGTTTTAGTCGCGACGGAGTGTTCTGTTCTATACTTCAAAGCACAATTTCTTCCATTAGCAAGAAAAGTGGAATATTTCACACATTTATCGCAATGAATTTCCTCCATGGAATCCTTGATTATTGCTTATCATCGGTCAAATTGATAAAAAACCGAGAGGTTGGCTGGCGAACTGTCAACCGCAAAACTGGAAAACAAGATCGTGAACAACAACCCATCGTGAAGAAAATCAAACTACTTTTCCTATTTAGTCGCTTCGTCGAATGGGTTGACGTTACCCAAGCGATGCGGCTGTGGGTTCACGACAAGACCATACAGGAAGGTACGTCCTGGGGAGTGTAAGAACTGAAGAACTATTCCTGTGTGACTGAAGGGAGATAGGTAAAAGGGAAGGCACGCCGTCGTCAGCTGCACAGATCAAGTCAGTCGTCGACTTCTACCATATTAATATGGACGACTTCGACCCCTCCGATATCAACAAGTACAGCACTTTTGAAGAATTTTTCGTACGCAAACACAAACTTGGCCACCGACCCATCTTTGAAGAGGATGATCCGAATAAGGCAGTCGTGGTCGCGGATAGTAGACTTGTGGTATACCCATCTGTCGCTGAAACGCGAAAACTGTGGATCAAAGGCCATAACTTCACAATTGCAAATTTAATTAAAGACCACGCATTGGCTCAGTCGTGGCATGATGGCGCTGTTGCCAGCTTTCGGCTAAGCCCGCAGGATTATCATCGGTATCATTCGCCAGTAAGAGGGACAGTCAGTTGGTACAAAACCATTTCCGGGCAATATTACCAGGTCGACCCCGTCTGTTTACAGAGTGACGTAGATATCTTAACGGAGAATGCACGGTGTTGCATTTGTATCAACACGGCCGAGTTCGGTAAGGTACTATACGTGGCGATTGGTGCGACGAACGTTGGGACCGTCGAAATCAATGAGAAGTGCCAGACCACTGGCCACCAGATCCAAAAAGGGGAAGAGGTGGGCCTCTTTCAGTTCGGCGGGTCAAGTATTATCGTTGCTTTTGAAAAAGGACGGATCGATTTCGATGACGATTTGCTCGATGTCAGCCGCAGGCAGGTTATGATGGATGTGGAGGTGGGCATGAGCATGGGTAGGGCCTTCAACGATCCGATTGAAGGCGATAGGCGCAATTGCCATACTTCGACGTCTGGCTGAGGAAAGCAGTGTCGTCGAGGAGATGACTAAGGCCAAAGGCAAGACGACGTTGCTGTAAATATTGACAATTGCTAAGGCTGGTCGATGATTACCCGTTATCTTTATCTAGAGTCAAGGCGTTCAAAATCACAAATCGAAGAAACAATAGGCCTTAGGTGAAGAATAGGACTCAATTAGGTATTATAATTTCGGAGCACGCTTTTATCTGTAAACCTAATCAGAATCGGCTCTTCCGAGTTTCGGTAATCAGGTCGCTGGCGCTGTAGATATTTGGAGGAGGGTTCGTGAGAACAACAACTTGGCGGTCACCATGGCATGGGTACCTGCAAATCCACCGGGCGGCGGGTACCTTATTTTGTAGGCTCTTGCCTTTGTCGTCTATACAGGACGCTCCCCGGACAAAGATAGATTGCCTCCTTCAAGTGATGAAGGAACCTGAGAAATTATGTCCAAGAATCACTGGCATGGTAGCATGTGTTGGTGCATCCGTGATGCAATTGTCCTCGTGATGTAAATCACATACTCACCCTACTCTGACTTCGCCTTGTCGCTCCATGGTCAAACACGTCCACACAGGATTCAGATCATCCGTCTGTCAGGTATTGCTCAGCTGTCTCTGTTGTCCTTTTTCCTACACAGCCTTGTTCCGTTGACTATATGTATTCAAGATCGTGCTCTCGAGCTGTTGGTCTTCCATCAACACATTTAATCTGGTCATGGGTGACGCGAAAGCGAAACACATTACCGAAATCCATCGGGACTTCGTGTCTCAGACTCCTGAATACCACCGCAAAAGATCATATTATGCAAATGGTATTACGACACTCTGATTTCATATGGTTCCGATTGTGATATGAGCTATGATAATGCGTCACGTCGCTGCCCCACTGACCGAGATAGTAGACGTGGTGGCGCGATTAGTTGTCTTGGTATGCACGGGTCACAGCGCTGATTGCGGACTCTGTGGCCTTGCAAGCCAAAGAATTATCAGTTTTACAGTAACGGTTCAACCGAGAATCTTTCTTGTTAAATGGCAACTGGGAGTTCTCGCGGATTGAGGAGGCTCAGCTACAAATGAATTCTAGGTGGACCATATTTGTCGAAAGATGTGCAGGGGTGATTTAGAGAACTGTTTATGGAGTGATCTTGGTCGCAATGAGAAAACTGAGTTGCACACTCAAGCTAAATTTAATATTACCATTATGGACTTTCCTTTGGTGAAATTCGATAGTAAGGCGTCGCGCGGTTGTTAGTTTTCATCAAATTAATCATTGATACAGTCCCGTCGTTCACACAAAGGCCACCATCACATTAGGCCTTATGATTCTTTGCTTTCGTTTGTTAATGTCCCCGGTTTATGCGCCACCTGCATTTGCGAAGTCAATAAGCATAGTCGTCAATCCAATGGATCTTTTGAAACAAACCTTTTTCTTGTTCTGGTCTGTGAACAAGACAGCAGGGGCATGGCTTGCACCCTTGGCATCCAGGCTGCGAGCTTCTTCTTCATCTGTCACAACCTTCTCAACCTGGATGCGTCCCAATCAGCTCCACCCGCGTTATTATACGATCAGATGTCAATCGACATACCTTTCCCTCATGCTTTCCACCCCGAATCTGTTTCTGTTAGGTGTTTGAAAACAAGGAGACGTCGCTCATCGTCCATTACGTGTGCCTAGACCAAAAACGCAAGTATTTTGTATCCGGATGCAAGAAGACGAATAGCAACGAATCGTGCCCTGTACGCTCATGATAGATAGAGTCTAAGCGATAAGTCTAGGCACATGATAATGCCGCTGTACTTTTTAGATTCATCAGACCGCGAATACCTTACACTGCACTGTACCCTTAACCCAAAATGATTATCCAACTGTATCCCAAAGAAACAAGCGCATGTAGTCTGTGGACTTGTCATGGGGAAAGCGAAGCCTGGGTTCTACAAGCTGAAACCTCTCCCCGCATCTCCCGTTCGCTCCGCGACGAAGGTTTACACCAATACACGGATCTGCTAATTCAAATGGTGATCCTTGGGGTTTTCCAGATATTAAAGTTCTAAGGCGACTCGCTGAAACGCGAGCACTACAGTATGTGGGCAATGCAGACGCTTTTGTGGGATGTGGTAAAGACAAAGCATTTATAATCTTGAGGGGTCGATTTTAGCCAACCCCTCATGAAGCGTAGAATAGAGTCCTTCCTTGATCTCACTCCATCGTCCCATATTCAGCCCACGGCTGGGACCAACTCGGCTCCGTATCGATGCAAGAATGGTATGAGAATTTGCGCCACTTCTGGCGTGGCGCCCCGCCTCGCACGTCTCCTATTCGCCTTCTGTCCTTCACCAAAAGGGACATCAAGCGATGACCAGGGCGCTGACTCCCAGAGTTGAGGCAATTCCACGCCGAATGGATTTACATGACGTTAATGAGGATCACGTCACCAGCATCATTTCCTGCTTGATGCGATGAGCTGTCGATCGAAGACACTGTATCTTCGTATACGAGCGGAGTCAATGGCAACCCGAGAGCTTTCTGGGTCCATCCCTGGTTAAGGTAGCTCTTCCGATCTTTGTAATTTGAGATGGGCCAATCAATGTGATCATAGGCCGGATACCTTCTCCGTAACATTTGACCGGATTTACTATCCGGGGTAGCAAATCCAATACTTTAAGTACCTTTTCCGTCGAATTCCCATGTCTTCGTTTCCGACACACTACTACTAGCTGAAAATTCTTTTCACTTGAGCTGTATATCGTGTAAGTTGCCTCGAATTGGGCGCTACTTGCATGGTGACGTGGTACTAATACTTTACTTCAGTGCACACTCCTCCGTTGGAGCCACGACGACACACATCACATATTGATACATAATCACAACAAGTCCCGAACTGTTCTGCTCAATTGAATGATGAGCGGGCCATCGAATTTTAAGAATATCGCACCGGCCCCTCTCCCTGCAAGCTCCATGGAGCTAAGTGTCATCGGCGAGGCGTCTCGGTTTGAGCCTGCACCTCGTAAGAACACCAGCACAGCATGCTACGCGTGCAGAAGGCGAAGGAGTCGAGTTAGTGGCCTATCTCATTCTCATTTCTTCTTGTGTTTTTTCCTCATTCCTTCCATGAGGGCCCAAGTGAATCTAACTGTCTCAATCTGTTCAGTGTAACGGTGGACTGCCATGCAACTCTTGCCTTTCACATAACACAGAATGCATCAAGGACGACAAGGACGACAAGCGGCGCAAATTCGCCGTCAATCGCAAGATAGAGTTGTTGGAAGCTGAGCAGCAGCTCCTCGACGACCTCCTTGCGGCGATCCGAGCAGCGAACCCGCAGCAACTGAATGGTCTCATCAACCTCATTCAGAGTCATGTCACCAAGAATGACCTTCGAACGCATATTGCGGAAGTTATTGCAGACCCCTCTGAAAGTCCAACGTCGCCAGAAGACTCGTCATCAGTCATTACTCACCGACGTCGTCGTATGTTAGGTCGCATACAAGATCTCGTCAACCCCATCATCACTGTACCTGCGTATCCATGGACAACAGTTACCGATGATGATGATCTCGTCTCGCACCTCATCTCACTGTGGTTCACATGGTCGCATCAATGGTGGCAGTGGGTCGAAAGGAAGTCATTTCTCGAGGCTATGCAAACAGGAAACACAGAGAGCCTGATATGCACGCCTTACCTCGTAAATATGATCTTAGCAGACGCTTGTGTACGTGACTTTCGGTTACATGTCTCGGCAGGTTTGCTTTGCTGATTGTTTTCCCAGCTGTTAGAGACTATGACAGAAAATGATAACGGTCCGAATGTTTGGCTCGGTGAGCAGTTCTACCATGAAGCCAGAAGGGGCCTCGAGGAAGAACAAGGCCGAGTTTCGTTTCCCTTCCTCGCTACCCTTGGCGTGCAGTGGACATAGTGAGTCACTACGCTAGCCATGAAGTGAGCACGGCATAGAAATTCGCCTAACCTATTTTCCATATTAGTCTCAATGCCAACGGCCAAGACAAGTTGGGAAACCCGATCCTATATCAACAAATGTACCTCGCCAAAGACCTCGAGAAATGGCAAACGCGTGTCGAGCAGGGTTTGAACCTCACAGAACAAGAGTTGAAAGTCATTGACACGAATGTGACTTATCTCTCGTGGACACTGTTCGCGTTGAGCTCGCTGACACTGATCAATCTGGAAGGAGCACAGCCGCTAACGCCACCGAAGCGGTCCAAACCACCAATGGGACACGAAGCGTTTGGTGAGAGTCAGACATGGCAGCCTTACCCTCAACCAAGCCATCCGTATGCATTCCATGCGGGGTGTCACTTCCATGCATTCTTATCGTTGTCCGAAAAAGTGATGCAAGATGAGGTCCTGTTCAAATCGAATGATCAGTCGGACAAAGTTATGGATCGTTTTGGAGAGGTCTATCACCAGCTGGAGAACTGGCCACAAGATCTGCCCGACTGTATGAAATTGCATCCGAGGTCAACACCCCATGTGCTGGCATTGCAGTACGTTTTATCAAAGTTATTCCTGACTCACTCACCCATCATTGCCCATTCCTCAATTCACACTTACCACTATTCTAGCACCAACTCCGTAGTCTAGTGTGAAATATACTGACGTAATTCCTGTCTCCTTACAGTGGTCTCCACAAATGGATCATGTTGATCCTCTCCAAACAAATGTCGGCGTTTGATGCAGGAGAACCTGACAAGCCGATAGTAACCAAAACACCACGATCGACAGAACAAGCGCACTGGCAGGAAGTATGTATCGGGACGTCAATTGACATCAGCAAGATTCTTGAACGGCACCGCATCGACTGGGGTAATGATCGATTTCCCGTCATCGTCATGAGGCCGGTCAGCCTGGCGCCATTTGCATTGTTGGAAGGTCTCTCTAAGCGACCACAGTCACAAGAAGCCATTATCGAGCTGTGCATCTGCATTACTGCGGCTTCGCGTCGTTTCCGCGTGGGTAAAGACATTCTCAAAGCCATTGGCACCGTTGCGCGGCGGGACAACATCCAGTTGCCCTCGCCGTGCTATCGCATGATAGACGCCATGACGCGGTCGTGGGAAGACAGCAGATCGACCACTACTGGTCAACTACCCTCGACAGGCGTGGATTATTTGTTGGAGAAGTGGGATGATTTGGATCTCGACTAAGATTCCAGACAAGTCCACATCATCCTGTTTCAAACAGAGGGCGCAACGCGAAGGAATGTTGACGGTCATTCTTAGACTACCGGCAACATTGGTGGATTTGAGACGTAGTCCTAGACTCCCTAAACCACACTTTGGTCTGGTAGAGGACAGCCCACCACCTCTAGTACCCTACGACCTAACTTAGTCCAGTGAGCTGAAGGAAGAGGACAATGAGAGATCTCCCAGGGGACGTAAGAGGAGGCGGAAACGCCGAACCCGGCCATTTGAAAGCGACAAGAGTACTGACTAGCTACTTAGAGAACAACGGACCCGACAACTCCAGTCGTGCTGGAAGGCATCCTCTAGAATCTCACAGTGATTCCGAGGAGAGAAGTGAGCAACCAACCTCGACACCATACTCTCGTAAATTTCATTCCAACTTCTATGCGAGCATAAATACTGCAAGTCCAAGGTTTCAATGCTGTAATTTATGGCAAGGCTCTAATAAGAAAGAAACACTCGGAGCGGTGGAACTACTTAGCCTTGACGGAAGAAAGTTTTTCCGTCAGTGCCATCCCAGTTGGGGTTGCGTTTGTACGAGATCTCTCGAAAGGCACTAACCCCAAGGCTAAGGAACTTTACCCTGCCTAGCCAAGCTTGCGGGCCTCCTATCAATTAGTAATTACGACGGGCCGGCGACGACTCTCACCTCCCCGTGGTGCCGGCTGGGAACCTGCAAATGTTGGCCCCTGGCATTTGCAGAGCTGAGAAGAGTCAATACCAACCAGCACTTGTCCGCGATTTGGGGCTACGATTGCAGGGAGGACGCGTCAACCCATCAACCACAAGCGACAAGGGAATACTTTAAAAACCACCCGACACACGACTGCGAAATCGATCCTACAATCGGCGGACATATCGGTCGTGGGATAGGACACCCTTTGGGTGCTCTCGGGCTGCTCTGTTGAAACGCGACGAGACGATATACGAAAGAGAAAGGATGATAATAAAAATATAAAACAACGACAGCAAGCGACAGGACCTAGCGTTTCGAATCCGCGCAGAGGACGACGAGGCACTTTGGTTAGTAGGAGGAACAACACTGTGTTGCTTGGCTGTTCGGGGTAAAGAGAGGATACAAGTGGACAATCTCCTGCGAGACACGGTCGACTTTATCAGGGAGACCTTGCAAAGCAGCGCGAAACGGATTTGACAACCCGGCGGGGCGCAGCATATAATGGAAGCGACGGAAGACTGGGTGGGCGGACCGCAGGTACGACACTTTCTATATGGCTCGAGAGGACTGACGCGCGAGTCGATCTACTGAGGGAATAGGATCTTAAGGATGGCTAACGAGGATGGAGTCTTTAGGTTGGCTATGGAGGTAGGCTTAAGGTGCAAACTGGTATTGACTTGCGAACCGGCAGTGCCCCGCGAAGGAAGCGGATAAGGATCCAAGGCGATGCAAGGTAGAGGGTCTATGTAGGTAGACACGTGTCGACCTCTACAATGTATTGTCTAGCTTAGCTTGAGAATACAAATCACTCCTTGACTACGCACACGTGGCGAAGCGAGGCCTCCGAGCGGTGATGGCATTGAAGCGTCTGCGCGCACTGCATCTCAGGTGGACACAGAGCCCAAAACACCCCGTACTCCTACTGTAAACACACAAGAAGTTGTCAATCAGTCCTTTTGGGAGGAATGGGACCTCAAAAGAGCGGCCATGACCCCCCGTGACCGGCCAGCTGACCCGTCTCAGCCGCAGCAGGGTTTCATACTCTAGAGTATTGAGTATACTCGATAACGTCCTGACTCAGTACTCTAGAGTATACTCGATAACATAGCCGTCGCCTGACCTCGTCGTCGCTCCTTTCGTTATCGCCCTCGTCATCGTCCTTTCTTAGCTGATCTGCAGTTCAATCAAGTTGTCTTTCAGCCATGAACAGAGACACTGCCTCATCTCGATCGTCTCGTCTGTCATCCTGCTCATCGTCGCGTCTATAAGACGACCCGTACTGCTAAAAATTCGCTCGAGATCGCAGGAGGTAGCCGGTATTGAAAGCAAGTCGAACGCCATTTGTTTTAGTTGCGGATGTCCGTGCTTGTCCCACCACGCTAGCATATGCTGTGTTGTCGCTTCTTGAAGTGTTACAGGAGCAGAAAAGGCGTACTCGTTCAGTGGATCTTTGGTGTCGTTGTGTGGCTCATGGCCCAGCTGAATATAGAAAATGGAGGGAGGGTTCAGAGTCTTTGACGCTACGGTTGTAGTGCTCTCTAGTTTATAGCTCTTTTCCCACTCCTTTCGAACACGCGCCAGCATTAGCTTCTTGTGCTTGTCGAGTGTGGCCGTCCAGTTACGTTTAAAGTATGACATTCGTTGCTCTGGGTTAAATAGCGTCGCTGCGGCGTAGAGGTGGTATGCCTTATCCGTTTCGAGGTAATATAAGTGTAGCTTTTCCCATGCGGCCTGCGTACAGACTGCTAGCGGGTTCTGAAGATCATCGTCCTGTTGATAGCGATTCATCTCTCTCTTAAGGTAAGAGTATAGCGCTTCGATTCCTGGCAACCATTGCCAGAGTGCTCCTTGCTGTCCTTGGATTCTATTGGTAACATCGAGAAATGGAAATAGTGCATCTTTAAGCTTAGATAGTCGCGACCAGTCATCGTCTGATAGTACGTCACTATCGAGATCTTTCGTAAAGCGTGACTGGAATATCACGACATGTTCTTTGAGCTTCAACGCCTGCGATATAGAGAGGAATTGACTATTCCATCGCGTCTGCTTATCGAGTAATACCTTTAGGTTATCAACGCTAGCATCGCCAATTCAGATGCCCTTGAATTCCTCTTGCCTTGTTGCCGATGATTTAATAAAGACGACGAGATTGTGGAGCTTTCAGAGGGGTCCCTGCTTCCGCCAGAGTCGTTGCGCGGCCTCGATATCTACAGGGTCAAAGCCATTGTCCTCTAGACGGCGAGCCTCAGTCTCGAATGCCTCTACCTCGGTCTTGTATAGGAAGGCCTTGGCTGCGAGGTTCACGATATGCGCAAGACAGCGAACTCGTTTCCCACTTAAATCCTGAACCTCTGGTGCTAGATTGTTGAATAGGCTTCTCACGGCGGTATTGTTGTCGCCAGCGTTGTCGGCAACGCAGACATCTAGCTCATCGACAAAGTCATATTCTCGGACTACCTCGGCCAAAATCGAGGCTTCATACGTGCCAGTATGTCTCTCTCGTAGTCTGCGTAAGGCTAGTAGCACCGATTTGGCTGAAGCTGAGAGTCATCGCCGTCACCGACTCGAACAACGAAGTGCGCATTGACACCGAGCAGTGCGTAGGTACTATAGTCTGACGTCCATATGTCCATACTAATATTGATCTTCGAGAGGGACTGCTTTAAAAGCAGTTTGATCTTGTTCTTTGCCGCCACGAACTCGTCCTCGGTCCACGATCGCGCAGCATTCCTTCCGTACATGTACTTATTCATCTTGGGTGTGATGCCTGTAATCATTCTTCTGAAGGCAGGGTGGTCAACGGTGCTGAACGGCTGGTGCGTCTCTATTAACCACCGCAGTGAATTCGTTCTCCACAGACTTCCACTAGGCTTAATGCCTTGAAACATGTTGATAAGAGTTGGTTGCGATGAAGAGGAGGGCGCCATTGACACGCGCGCGGACGAACTGTTACGGATGCTATCCGACTCGGCCAATGACGCAGTATTCACCCTCCAGCCGTGCTTCTTTTCCATATGCTTTTGCGCATTGGACGACGACTCGTTCCACTGCTGAACCAGCGTTTTACACTCAAAACAGAGCCACGCCTTGATATACTCCGGTTCCTCTTGCTTGGAATATTGCGCTCCTAGCGACCAGAATACGCTAGGCTTTATCCTTTTGCGACGGTACTTGGGATCACTATACTTCCAAGGTATGAATGTACCGAGTTCGTTGATAATTCTGTCGTGATTGGGGGCGCCACCGAGGCTGGTAAGATCGTCTGAAGACATTCTGGGCTAATGGTCATAGTACTACCGAGACACAGAATCAAAGTATGTCGAGAAAGCTATGTCCTCACCGCCACTTGGCGACTGATTAGTCCCGCCCCATCCATCGAGGAATAACCGTACTCTAGAGTACACTAGCGTACTCGATAACACGACGACGACGATACTCTAAAGTATACTTATCGAGTATACTCGGTATGGTACTCTAGAGTATGAAACACTGCGGACAGGCGTGGGGAACGGTGCACTGGAGGCCGAGTACTCGCGCTGAGGAGAGAGTATCACCGGAGCATGCGAGTGCAGAAGAAGCAACATTGGGACACATTTCTAGAGGATGGACAGAATATCTGGCAAGCGTGCCGCTACCTTCAAACCGACTCGACTGCCGCATTCGTGAAGATTCCCGTGCTAAGAACGGGAGGGGAACAGACGGTCGAGGACGACGAAGGCATGGCCCGGGCGTTGATCACTGCATTCTTCCCGCAGAGCCGAGCCGTGTCAGCACCACTGGATGGATCGGAAAAGGATGCTCAACCCCCAACGATCCCACTGACAATGGTGGAAGTTGAACGAGCCATCCATGATGCCAGCTCCTGGAAAGCGCCGGGAACTGACGGTATGCCGGCGGTGGTGTGGCAGAAATTATGGACGGTGGTGAAAAAGGTCATCTTTCGTATCTTCCACCAATCACTCACCACCGGACGACTCCCACGAGCGTTCATAGTGGCAAAGATCGTGCCACTGCGCAAGCCGGACAAGCCTGACTATGAACAACCTGGGGCGTATCGGCCCATTTCTCTACTGTCGACCCTGGGAAAGGCGTTGGAAGCGATTGTCGCCGAGCGCATCTCCTATTTGGCAGAAACACACCATCTCCTGCCCAACAACCACTTCGGGGCACGCAAGAGCCGATCGACCACGCAAGCCTTGGTGATGCTCCAAGAATGGATCTACGACGCGTGGCGAGAACACAAGGTCCTCAGCCTGGTCAGTTTCGACGTGAAGGGAGCCTACAACGGGGTGAACCAAGATATCTTGCTACATCGACTGAGAGCACGACAAGTACCTGAAATGCTGGTTCAGTGGGTGGCTAATTTCTGCAGCGACCGAAGAGCCACGGTGGTGGTCAATGGGCATGAATCGGCGACGTACGATCTCGCTCATCCCGGTTTGCCACAAGGACTTGTAAATGTGATTCCCCAAGTGTATCCTATTAACCTATGAGCTTCTAGGTACTTATATACTTGTAGGCTTGGTCTGCCTATCCAGGCAGCCAAGCCACAGACATCATAGTGGCGTATCTGCCTACTAGGCAGATACTCCACCTCGTCACCTGCTGTTCAGAAACAACTCTCCCACTAGCTGCGGGTGACGGGGTTAGTGGCAGGAGCTCTTGTCCATCCCAAATCCTTTTATTAGATTCTCAAAGGCGTCTCTGGGAAGCGGCTTGGTGAGCATTCTCGCAGAAAGTGATATTTGAGATCGATATGTTTTGTGCGATCATGCAGTTCCGGATTCCGTGTCAGCTTGAGTGCAGCATTGTTATCGATTAGAAGTGAAGTTGATGCAACTTCAAGATCTTTGATGAGAAGGTCATTGATCATATTCTGGATCCAAATGATCTCCTAGTGGCCTTGTATCCAGCCACGTATTCAGCTTCGCAGGTTGATATTGCCACAGTCCTTTGTCTTTTGGACGACCATGATACAGGGCTCCCTGCAAGTTTGACAACGTAGCCGGTAGTAGAACGTCGAGTGTCTGGACATCCGGCCCAGTCGGCATCAACGTATGCATGCAGTTCTCGATCGGCACAGTTCCTTTTGAAATGAAATCCGAGTTTGGGTATATTTTTGAGATACGCATAGATATCATCGACGGCTTTCATATGCTCTTCGGTTGGGTTTGCACAGAATCTGGAGACAACTCCCACCGCTTCTGCAATGTCCGGTCGTGTGACCACCATTGCGTAGTTGAGCGCTTCAATTTTTGATTGGTATCGCCTTTGAAAGTCAAGAGCGCTTGGTGGACCATCATTTTTGGTTAGTTTCGGGCTTGTTCGCATGGGCGTCTTTCGTGGGTGAATGTCCTGTAGCCCATAGCGATTGAGGATCTGCTGGATGTATGATTCCTGATGCAGGTGAACATCACCAATGGCCTCTTGATGTACGTGCATCCCCAGGTAGTAAGCACAGAGACCAAGGTCTGTCATGTGAAAGCGTGAAGCTAATGACGTTTCATGGCTATGATAAGATCTTCATTTTAGCCGAAGATGTTAACTTGCCTCCAACCGAAACCTTTCTCTCTTTCTTGAATAATTGTAATTCGATTCCCTAGATTATGCCTAAGGGTGGCGGCTAGGGTGGCGGTGTCCTCGTCTCATCTCTATTCTGGCAATATGTGCAGCGGCATGCATTACGTAGACGGTCGTAGATCAGCTTGCTCAGCCTCGGAGTCTGGTTTTCTTTAGTCTTCTTGTACTCGAGGTGTCGAGACAAGCGGTAGCGTTGCCGCCTTCGGTAGATATTGAAGGGTGTATCTAGAAATTCAATTCGGGCAAGTTTGCTTTCCTTCCATAGCTGGAAGTCGTGGTAGTTGTCTTCTACGAGCATTTTGGGTCATGGAATAGCAATTACTGAGGGTTGAAAATATGTTTGTCAGAATTTATTAGATTTATGCCGCATCGAAGGAAAGGATGAGGGTGCGTCCAATCCTACGGAGCTTCCCGTGCTGTGAGGCTTCTTAAGACTTATTTCACGAACCCGTTGGTTCAAACATAACTACGGCAAGGACGTGACAGTAGACTGCACTTGTCCGAAATTGGCCATGGCAGCGAAAATTCCGCTCACAAACCCTTCGCATGATATCGTGCCGCCACTCGCCAGGGTTTTGCACCACAACGCATCAGGCAAGAATCATGGTGCCAGTATCTGGAGAAGGACATGCTACCTAAAAGTGAATACTTTCGCAGTTAAGCGTACTAGAGATTGGAAAATGGTACAAGGGAGTTGCCATTCATTGTCCCAGGAAGAAAAGACCGCCGAGATCTTCGAAGTGCGCGGCTGGAAATGCCATCCCCGACATTAAAATGTGTAGCGGAACATCCTCCAGGCGAATAAGATTGCGAATGACAGACGTTGAACTCCGAGAAGGAGGTCGAGGTCGTGAGCTCCAAGCAATGAAAAGCTTCTAGTGGGGACGTTTTAGCCGGCGGGCCTTAGCGCCACTATTGTACGTCCACGGATCAAAATCGAGGACCGGAAAGCTATTCCTTCCACTGCAACCTTCAGGTACATACATGTGCACATGCACATGCAATTGAGGAGTGCGGTCATCCTTAGTCTTTGTGTGAACTTTGACGTTTTGACCATTAGACATAACATGTTAGCCAAAGGGAAATATCCATGTCCATCTGCCGATTTTTGGTCCTTGTCGAGCTGACAACTGCGCTAGTGGCAAATTTGGTACGGCGGATCATTACGGCGGATTATCGGGGTCTTGGCAGCAACAAGATCTGTTGACGGAAAATTCCTCTGTCATCGGAATTAATGCTCCGCTGTACTGAATTGTATCAGACCGAGGGTGGGTACCACAGTGAAAGAAGATACAGCCGGGCTAGGATCGATAGGAAACGGGTGTTCTTGATCTTCGAATTGCCAAATACATCTAAAAAAGGAAATAATCCACGTGATAAAGAAACGACAGAGATTTTGGACACAGTTAGAGCATTCATGAATGACAACATGGCCATCTGACCAAATCCAGTCTAGCTTGGAGAATCAAACATGTACCAGGCGTCTCACCGTGCTCCGGAAAACATCTCCAGCCTGCGCGTCCAAAAGGGTTGACACTAGCTATGAAATCATCGCACCACACACCCCGGTGACAGTGTACTGGAAGTCCAGCCGAGAGACGACGCTTCCAGCTTGACGCCAAGCGTCCCAACTGATGCACCAAAGCAGGTCGAAGTAAGTGCCGAAAGGATCGCGAATGAATTCATAATCTCAGCTTATTTGGAACAGGCCGAGCTTCAACAGCTCATCAAAGCGAGTCCTGATGTTTTCGCACTCTTAGCAGATGGTACGGGTCGAATACATGTCCTTGCATCATCAAACCTCGAAAATAAGCAATGGATCATGCAAGGCGCCCTTGTCCGCCTTGCCCAACATTTGAAAAATCGCAAGTCGATTGACCGTCCCCGAACGAGCGACGATGTGGCCATTCTTCCACATAAAGCAGAGTCTTCTCTACCAGATCCTTTTGACTTGTCAGTCACAGACATCACGATATCACAATCATCCTTGAAATATTGTGCTCCAAAACATAGCAAGCGGAAGCACCTGGAGTGTCCCATACCTCAAATGCTCGAACTTGGGCCACAGAACGGCGTCGCTGATTCTGCATCGCCGATCCCGATCTCGATCTCTCAACCTCGGAATTTTTTGGTGGAGATACAGTTTGGTGATCGTTCTCAAATGTCGCTATGGTTCCGGGAGGCATTTTGGAAAACTCAACAAGTGGCCTGCCGAACGATAGCAAAGTGCTGGGTCAAGAGAATACATTCCAAGAAGGTACACCAGGCTCGCTTCTTAGCAACGAAATCAAGCATTGTGCTGAAGGTTCCCAGCAATCAACACATCCTTATAACGGAAAGGCTAAAACGGGATTACATTCGAATCCATTGGCAGCACACCCCCGTACTGGCCATCAGGTAAGTACAGGATCGCAGTGCGATTATTAATTCACCACTGGCATCCTTCCTGGCCATCATAAATCCATTCAAATGATGACAGAAGTGTCCAGATGTAGTGCACAAAGAACCAGACCATATATGTCGTCTTGGTAGGTATTTGTTCCAGAGTCTTATCCTCGACTTGGATTGAATGTCGGGTATATCGGATCCGTCTTCTCGTGCACATGTTATGCACACTCTTCGACCCCACTACAAATAATGAAAATCGTTTGATCGTCTCTGCGGGAGATCTACAAACATCTTTGCGTGAGAAAAGGTCCGAACTTGACGACCGTGCATGGGGCCTGATCGCACAGGTAACAAAGGTACGAGAAGCGATGGAACAGTATGAAGCTGGCACTTCCAAGCTGTCTGTCAGCAAACATCCAGGTAATGAACCTCTGGTCAACATCAAGACACTCAGGAGCTAACATCTTGTAGGCTCGATGACCGCGGTGCGACCCTCACGAGGTATTGATAAATCATCCCATGGCGCTTATCAGAACCACGTGGTTCAAGGATTGGTCATAGCGCCAGTTTATCTCGGACAAGAGCGCAGTCTTATGCTAGCCGTGCCGAATTTACTGTCCGACCGTTCGCAACCCGAATCCTCCGGATACATGGACGAATTCCCTGGGCAATACGGCGCTGTCAGTCACGTGGCGGGCCAGCCGAGTCAGCACTGAAGCTTTTGAGCGGCGGATCTATGCTAATTCTGGTTCAGTTCGCACGGAGCTTCAAGGAGTCGAGCGTCAGGACGAATTTCACTCAATAAAACAGTGGGACATTTGTACCTGCCATGAATCCTGTATAACGCAGGTAATGTGATAGCACCTGGATCTGCATTGTGAGGCTTGATCGTGAATTTTCCTAACGTAGGAGATTCGATAATCGAATCCTCCTATCCACAACCTAAATTGCGAGGGAATCGGAGTAAGTCCAGCGCGAGTGGTGGAGGTTTGAGATTGAGCTCTTTCCTTCGATTGTCCTCTGATCCAGGACGGGATGATGATTTCTGCTGTGGTCGGGCTTTGCCAGACACAGTCACTGGCAATTCAACCATAGAGAAATCATCTCTTCTGGTACCCATGTGCACACCTTCAACGAAATCCACTGACTGCATGTACACGACCAGTGGGCAATCGTAGAGCGGTGTGCGGCCAACCCAAAATGTCCTATCAGGATTCGTTGTCACAATTATATGTCGTGGCTATCCGTCGGTATATTTGGTACTTGGTGTCCTAAGACAGGTTCATATCAGCCTCAGCCTTGAGGCGTCAGACCTCAAAAGCCCTTCAAAAATGAACACTCCGTTGACATAGGACCTGAAATTGATAAAAAGAACAAAAGAAGGGTTCAGATGAATAGTATTCCGACACTGATAATTGAATTGGGTTCCAACATCGGTAAAGAAGGGGAGCTTGGTTGGTGATTGGGAAGAGCTTGGTCTGAAACCCCGTGGACCATCAGAGCCACGAGGGTAGACCCGCCATGATAAAGTGAGTTGATAGCGGCTCGACTTGGCTGTCCGCAGTGTCGGATGAAGAAAATTGGGGGTTTTTTCGTTTTTGGTGTAAAAGAAGATCAGGGTGCAAGGCGCTCGTATTGTGCCATAAGGATAATAGCGTGTGGAAACTAGTGATAAATGGCGGGGTCGAGGCGGTACAATGCGGCTCTCCAGACGAATTTGCCTCCACTATGGGAAGTGTTGGGCTGTTACCGCCATTCCCCCTTGCGATAAATCGGGCTCTGAAGCGTTTAGATGGCTAGGGATGAGTAAGCAACGCGAATGGTTACGCAACCTAGGAACTGTAGGAGAGGGGATCAAACATGGGTCCATGGATGCTCAATTCTGGCGCTGCGTGCACCACATCATCCAGCTGAGGTGAGAGTCGGTGGTAACTATATTCGACGATTGGCAACGCTTCTTCCAGCCCACATCGCACGAAGGCTACCAATGCAGACAAGCAACAGTCGGAAATTCATCTACCCTCGCAATTCATCATTACCCAACCACAATGCGGAGCCTACAGTGAACAAAATCCAGCATGGACCACTCGACAGCCGCCTTGGATCCCACATAGTTCAACACCACTACGTTCCCATATCACACACAAGCAGCACATTTGTTCCCTCACAGCACAATACGTGGAAAAACGAAATGGAACGTGCTCATGCTATTGTGACCCCGTGGTCCTTCCTAGCGAATCCTGGATTTAATCGATCGTGGTCCATTGCCTGACCAAAGGTTGGTGCCAAGGCACAATGGCGACCTTTTGTCAAATATTTTTTTTGTTGAGCCTAAAACCAACCTCAAGGACTCAATCTGAAAGTTGCTGCTCTTCGCCAATAAAGTCGGTTTCGAATTGCCCAGTTCACCCCGTTGTCTTTACACAGGACATAAACCCGACCATGGAGAGGTAGCTGCACCTTTCCAGTGGATTTCTCTACTTTCGTTTCTGTCACAACGATATGGAGAGGCGGCTGCAAAGGAATCCACAACAAGCGACAGCGACCGAAGAATAGCAATCAACTGTTGTTCATCGGGCGCAAGAGGTCATCCAGTTCTATTAATGCTCCAAATCCCTCGGGCAAACGGACGTGTTCTAGCTCCCCGACCAAGAAGCCAAGTCCCTCAGACCTGTTGCACCGGGTGTATCGACGGGTCATTATATCTGACTGTGGGTAATGCATCTCCGGACAAGCTCTCGCGCTGCGATGCTGACAGCGACGCAGCGTTGGAAGGTCGTATAAAAGGTAAGTGATCCCACGGCCATCGTGTTCACTGGCTAATGAAATCAGGTTACAGATTTCTGCACCAGGCTGGGATTCTCCAGGGTGACATTTCGCAAAGCAATCGTAATGAATGAAGACTCAACCAATCCGTCACGGGCAGCATTTTTGATCGACCTCGATCGCTCAATAAGAATGTGGCGAGAGGGATCTTCACTCGCACGTGGTAATACAGGTACAAGAGCATTTTATGGCTATCGGGGTGTTTTAGGCGAAAAGCACTCCCTCATGCATGGCTATGAATCGTTCTTCTGGGCGCTTTCCTTGATATATATTCACCATGACGGAGCAGATAACAAAGGTAGAGTCGTCCCGAAGTTTGAGAAATGGAACTATGGAGACACCGATGACTTAGCCGAGCTGAAGAAAGGCATGGTCGCTCATGAAGGCGATTTCAAAAGGAGGCTTGATGACAATTTCACGCCGTACCGCAGGCCAATGGCTCCTCGGGGTAACAGGCTACAGAAAATAGTGCTTGGAAATGATCCTTCTCAATAGAATAGGGCAGACTTGATCGTGCAATAAAACTTCAGTATAGGCCGGCTGCCGGCTGTAGTGGCAGACTACCGCAGCATTAAATTGAGATTCTGCTCAAACGTACCTAACACCGTAGGCCATGTCTCTGTGTTTAACGGGTTACCATCGCAATGTCCGGAATGATGCGCTAAATACTTACTGAGGAATGTACAACACTGCTCTTTCTCCTAACGACATCTGGAGGATTGCCTCATCCCAACCTGCCATATTTCCGTCAGATTGGATCTTTACACGGTGAAGAAAAGGGCCTGTGGGAGGACCTGAAACAACTTCGCCGACGCCAATACTCGCCTTGAAATCAACGCGATCGGTGGTACTATCAAATCTTGATACCATTAGTCCTCGTCGAATATAGTCCCTACCGGATCAGTAAGGCTCAACTCACTCTCTGCCCCTGTGAAACACATCCTTGCTCTCTGCCATGTAGATTCAACCTGTGAACTCCACCGTAACCTCATCTCCTTTGGTTGGATACTCGAATGCACTCCCCTTCTGCAGAACACTCTTCTTGAGCGACATTGGAGGGGCCATTATAAGGAGTAGAGTATCAAATGTCGGGAAAGATAAAGATAGAGAAACCGCATTTTAGGCTTCAAATAGATTGACTGCAATGTCGCACATGAATGCTGCTTCCCTTACATTTAAAGTCAAAGGATCCGTGGCACGATTGTGTTTCAAACTCAAAAGCAAGATTTAGTTATGGCATTGACATAGCGTGGGCAAGTCACCCGGAAACCAAGGGCCCAGGCTTTTCGGGCATGCGAATGAAGTACGAAACCTATCACTAGGTATGCATCACATAGTCGATCTACCATTTCGACCAAGACGAATTGAATTGGTGGAGAGTTGAATTTGCGCCCAAAAAGGGTACCCTTTGCCATTAGAGTTGGCCGCTTCCGGGTGTTATTTCGCTAGTGACGGATAAGCTTCGCGGATGGATATTTTATCCTACCGCACCTAGAGTGAAATCCTCTCACAAAAGGCCCCGAAACCAGTGGTGTCAGCGCACAACTGCCGAAAGTTACATATGGGCACTGGGGTCCGGTAGAATAAATTAGTGGAGCACATTATGGAAAGCATCGTGGGGTGTGGAGATAAGGTTCGTTCAGTCACAACAGCTAGCTAGATGTAGGCACCATGCGCGCCAAGAAACAAATACGCTAACAACATGTAACCCTCGAGCCATTTCTCCGTGGAGAAGATGTGACTAAGGCGCAATGCTGGGTGGTTACGCCTAAAACGGTATGCATAGACCGCCTTCTGGCGAATTTCGTTATGGAAGTGGCAGGTATCTACACAAAACATCACGAGAAGGTGCGAACCCGTCGTCCAACTTAGTCGCTGTGTCCTGTTGTGGGTGCAATTCATCCGACATACCTTCCCATGGCTATTAGCTATCTGCGGAATGTTGCCATCGTTTTGGGTTCGGCTCCAGAGAGTAACGAAGACCCTTAGTGCGCCAATAATCCCAGAAAATGCAGGAAATACAGAAAAATGGCCAGCCGACTAACCCAACATGACAACTCAATGTCGAAAGTCTTGCCTCCCACTTTACACTTTGTCAGAAACATCACACTAGGCCAAGAGGAAGAAACTGAGGGCCATGGCACGGCCCTAACACCCATTTGCCCAAAGCCTACTTTCAATCCGCCATGGGGCTGTTGGCTCGATCCCGAGCGATGGTCAGTCGGGTGATTCGCCCGTGGTTGTGCCACAAGTTGGTTCTTTGGGAGACTTTTTGTGACGCATGGTCGTCATCCAGGTTGGCGCTGAGTAGCACCCAAAACTCGTTATCGCATTATGTCAAGATATCGTGTAAAAATGTCTCTACGGCACGGGAGGCATGTCAAAAACCTAGAGTCAAGTAGGCCGCCATTATTAGCCTCGTTCACCGAATCAATAGCCCGAAGATGAGCAAGCAACGGTCTGCACAGCTTGCCGTAGATCAGCAAGAGACTGCCTCACAACATCCGTGGGATCAGGGCCTCGGAGACGCTCAAGCCTTGAAGGCCTATCTGCTATCGCGGTTCAAAACATAGGATGCCGGCAAGAATCGTAGTGGGCATACGAAAGGAGGAAACCAGAAAATGCATTCACGATAAGCAATTGCGTGTAAGACCAAGAAGGAATGAGGCGTCCCATTAAGTTTAACAACAGGCAAGGTGCCTTGTCCAATGTGCTAACCAAAGGCTCGTGCGCCCCAGCAATCCGCGCCCGGCTACGAACCGTCGCCTTCCAGTCCGGACAGATAATGCGAAGAACTGAACATGAAGATTGCCGGCATCGCAATCCCAATGACTGCAGTAAGGAGTTGTATTGCGAAATGAAGCTTGGATCTATTGCTCCACGCTGGAACTAATCTGCAGCAAAAGCGGTTTGATAAGTAACGTTGGGGTCGATATAGATGCCGTGCTGACACGGTTTATTGTACCGAGAATCGCCTTAGTGCCGTCTTCGCTTTATCACAGTTCTTTTGACCTAAACTTCTCCGCCTATTGATGACCCACTCCTCACAACAGTACATGTGGTTGGAGCCAAGTCTTCCGGTCAACAATGTCCTAAGCTTCCGCCTTAGGCTTGCACCGTAAGGCGTTCTAGCGGGGTTGACGTCAACGTAAGAGGCAAACCACAGTTTTATTCAAGCACTAGATCGTGGATTCGTCGAACTTACGTCCGCTAATCTCATAGAGGTCATGGCTAGAAACCTTGCGAATACATCTCATTCACGGAAATGGTTGGATTAGAGAATGTCGATTTGCTCATGATCCCGGAATCTCTGGAGGACCTTCATTCCCCACGTCGTGTCTAAGAGAGGTCTCGCAAAGCCCGCACCACATTTACCGCCGATGTGACCAAGGTAAACGATGACTGAACGCGAAACTGAGCCCCGTCTGGTCGCTCAAGAAGAATAGAATGTGCAGTGGACGCAACTGGCCAAGTAAGCCATCTAGCCAGATGGCATGCTAGTAGTCTCGCATAATGGTAAGTGGTCATAAGTATTCGTCAAATTTAGCGAATGTTGCAGTGGCCCAGTTGGTTAAACCGTGGCAAGCATACATGAACGTTTTCTGCCATGTCACGGGCTGGGACGAGCAGTAAGTGGACGCCTGCCACATTATTGTGGTCCCAATTCGGGATTCAGTCAGTTCCCTCGATTCCTTACTGATCTCCGCATATCAACTCTTCGCTGCTCCTTCGTTGTCAATGTTACATCTCTCGCTGGCACAAGCTCGCCGTGAGTCATGTGTGTTGGCGTAGTTGCCCCATTGCTTCCTAAAACCCGCCACCAGAGATGTGCGGACAGAATAGCATTTCACAATCACCCATTGATGGGCTAGGAACTATTTTAAAACTGACCGAAGTTAAGGAGGCGAAAATAACAACCTACTGGGTTCGTGATGAACTGCTCTGTTAGGCTCGTGATATGGGCCTACAGAGGGACAAAGGGTGGCTATCCGTTACGAGGCCCTTGGTAAGATCAAGCGACGGAGTGGCCTTCACTCTGCACTAATACTAGCACGGCGGATTAACGGATGATAGCATGGAAGCTAGGTTCGTACATGCTAATACGGGATCGCTCGCAATTGCGAGACTGCGGCGACCTAGTGGGGCGTTTTGAGCGCGATTGATAAATATCTTGGTTCTCCATATCAGAAATTCCTGGTATGTAGTTCTGTGGATCGCTTTAACTTTCGGTTGTAGTTGACGAGGTGCAGGTTGTGAAATTATTTGAGCCTTCTCGGTTACAAAATACTGGCTATACTCATTTGGCCTTTGTTAGAGTTCAGCGAGAGGCTTGAATGCCTCGTTTCGTGACCAAACCTGGGTAAAGTTAAAAACACAGCTATGGAGTTGATCTGCGTAATCTCGCCGTGAAGAGCGGCATCGAGTCTTCTCTTGGATCACAAATGTATTATGAAAGATGGGAAGATTTGGTCACTAACAATGGAGACACGTCATAGCGTTCCGGACTGGGCGAAAATGTTGCAGTTCTTTTTGGAACTGCCAATAACATTATATTGCGATTTCGCACAGTAAGCGAATATTAATTTCCAACACTGCGGTGATTCGTCCAAGGGCAATCTGTGTCACAATCAATCTGTAGGGACGGAGGGTAGTACTCCTTCGTCATGTACACAAGTGCATTTGCATCGGTGCCTAGCCTAGCATTGACGTAACTGTGGGATATTGGAGGACTAGTAACCCATGCAGTCTTGCACTGAGGTAGCATTGAGATCCAAATCTCCGAGTACTGCGACATGTAATGCTCGTCGTAGATCCGTGGATACCAGACCGGTCAGCTCAGGCAGAGATGGGGTGAACAACTCTCACGTATATAATTGCTACGCTTCCATGTCGGTTTCTACCTCAGGCTCGATTCGACAAGCCTCGAGACAAAGTCCATCGTCCGAATCCGAGCGAGCAGCCCAATAGCACAACCATGAGCGTCATCCCAGTCACAGCGTTCATCCGCTCCGCGTTCGAGTCTCTCGCCCTTACAGGCCAACTCCTTCCAACTGTACTTCAAGCAGACCCGCGCATCACCTACACAGGATATATTCCGGAAGCACATTACCCCCAAGAAAATGACACAATCACCAGTCTCCCGCTCCTTGTCGCCGTTCACACCACAGGCCGTGCTGGCGACCGCATAATCGAGCAGTGGAAGGACTTTGCCGACGCCAACAAAGTGGCCCTCATCACGCCTTTATTCCCCGCTTTCCTGCAAGGGCCTCTCGACCAAGATGCTTATCATTTCCTCGGCCGCCCACCACCTTGGGCCGGCGAACCCGCGGGAAGTTGGTTGAGCAAGGCCATATCTATCCCCGGTGGGTCACAAGTGACCATAACGCCAAATGATCCCGAGATTGACCTCCGGCTCGATTTGTTGTTGCTGAATTTGGTGAAAGAGGTCGGGGAGCGCTGGCCGGCCATTGAGACAGATAAATTTTTTCTCTCCGGTTTCTCTGGCGGTGGTCAATTCTCCCATCGCTTCTTTTATCTGCATCCAGAAAAACTGGAGGCGGTGTACGTGGGAGCTCCGGGCTCCACCACGCAGTGGAATTTCACGCAGAATTGGCCAACCGGGTTGCAGAACTGGGAAGATATCTTCCACAAGTCTCTGGATGTGGAGAAATTGAGGGCAGTCCCGGTTTTCGGTGCCGTGGGGAGCAATGACATTGTCAATGATGGACTGCGGCTCAGGAAGCATGTGTCTGGTTCGGATTTTGGCACGGACGAGGAGACGAACCGCACGAGGGTATCGAGACTCACGACTCTGGTCGAAGGCTGGCAGGAGGCAGGGTTCAATGCCAGTTATACTGTCGTCGAAGGCCCGGGACATGAGATGGAGAGGGTCAATCCGCCCGTCGAGGAATGGTTAAGGACGCAGATCCATAGTTGGTGGGCGAAACGCTCTGTGCAGAAGCGAGGTAAGATCGCGGCTGACAAGTGAGTTCGATGAATGAGAGACGTTAGGCATAATTGATTTCAACATCCGGCCAATATAGTCAGAGAATAGACTATCAGTTGGACAATGAGAACACTTGACCAAGCCCCTCGGGCCACAAAAGTGGAAAGCAGTGTTGAAACAGCTTCGCCTAAGCGAGAGCGTCGCCACCTCTGCAGGATCTGAGGGGGTGTGTTGAGGATCCAGTCCAGATACCTTCAGACATGGGACGATAAGGAGGATAATTAGTGATTTCTTGGTCATCATTGGCAATCCATACGAAGCATCCCAACAGTGGTATTGTGTGTATATATGTTGGAGAGTATGACCAGAAGGATAGAATAATATAAGATTCTCTGACGATCAGATATCCAAGATTCGAGACCGAAGGGCTTGCAGACTAACATCTCCGACAGGTCATATCATGGTATGAACTATACCATCCGCGAGTAATTGGGTATGGTTCTGCAAAGAGCTAGTCATATTTTACTACACCCATCTTTCTTTGAGGATCGACAGTGATGTATTCTGTAATCAATATTCAATATAAGGCTTATATTGACCTTTTCAATATTGAACAGACCTCGAAGATCAATATTGATTAGTTAATCAATATTGAATGCTTGATTAGTAAGCAGTGGTAACTTTAACATCCGATAGAGACCTCGCTGTCGCCTCTCCCAACATCTATGCCTACTAGGTCATCATCCATACTGAACTGGTAGTTCTTGAGCACCTTATTTTTCATCCAGTGCTTTAGGCACTCCATATGCTCAATTGTGCCGGCTCCTAATCTCGCCCTGCTCCAGGATATCTGCCTACGGGCACCTGAGAACACACGTTCTGCCTCTGCTGACATGGCTGGTATAGACAGTATATCTATTGCCATTTGGGAGAGGCGTGGATATGTACGGCGCTGAGCTTCCTCTAGCCACCACTCCAGCGCCGTCTTCTCAATATGAACTGGCTCGGCTGTTATAAAGCTATCAATATCGTCTCGCTTTGAAGCCTTAAGCTGAACAACGTTGAGCTCCCGCTCAATAATATCAAACTCATCGGGCTCAATACTCTGTTCGAATGACGACGAACTTGCCGGCCGAGGAACGTCTCTTGTGCTATACTGCTCCTGCCATAACTTCCTGACTTCTTGCAGTGTCCTACTTTGCCAGGGGGGCTTCCAATTCTTTGTAATATACGTCTTTCGCTTTGAGGGATGGAGGGGAAGCGCCGCGGCATAAGCAGGTACTGAGTCGGTAAGCGCGTAGTATTTGTCGAACGCATACCAGGCTACTCTAACGGCGTTCTGGAGGTAGGGGTTATTGGCGTGCTTGGCCTAGGCAAGTTAGCTTTTGAATGAAAGCCGTGAAAGCTGTACTTACGAGAGACTTCTCAAAATGCCGAACAAGGATATCCATCGTAGATAACGTCTTGTCAATTGAATCGAGATCGCCCTGCGTTCGCTGCGTGACCTTCCAGAACGGCTGTAAGAAGAGACGTGTTTGTTCCAGCAACTCCCAGTCAGTTGGCGTGAGAAAATCCTTCTCTAAGCCTCGATAGTTGGCTTCAATAAATGCGTTGACATGCGGTCTAAGCTTTAAAAGAGACGTCAAGCATTATGAACCAGCTATTCCAGCGTGTATCATTATCTAGAGGAATGGACCTACCAGCCTACTTAACGAAGGCATTGGAATGTAGCTCAGAGTTCCTAATGTAGACAACAATGTTATGGAGCGTTCCCATCGGTCCGATCTTCCTCCATTCATCTTGCTGTTTCTTCAAATTCTTAATAATATTGTCCTCAACCTGGGTATCTTCGTTATCAATCGTGGCATCAACTGCTTCATCGACAGCGGCTTTACTGCGAGCGAAGAGAAAGGCTTGAGCAACAATATTAATAACGTGGCCCTGACAGCGGATTCGATGGAGGTCAGGATGCCAATTAAGATTATGTCGGTCACGAAGATGTATAGAAACGAAACGGCAGAGCTTATCGTTAGAACCGTGATTGTCACCAACGAATTAGCCAAGCGCAGGAGCTACCTCGTAGTCGTCGATAACCTTACTGATATGGAAGGCTTGGTGTTCCCCACCGTGGCTACCATAGAGTTGAGGTAGACCAAGAAGAGCCTTTTGTAGCACTTTGTCCTCGTCAACGAAATGGGCAATAATTGCTACAAAAGCGAGCTTGTTTAGAGGTGTCCAAACATCAGCAGAGAGATGAGCAGAGGAGATAGCTTTGGAGGCGTTGTTTGATTTGGTGCTTCGTTTTGAGGAAGGACTGTTCGATTGCTCGTGGAATAGCCGCTCGAGACCGTGGGAGAATTGAATCAACGGAGTAATTGATCGTCATTAGCATAGCTTGAGACAGTGGCCACTCGACTACTGTGTGCGGAAGGTTGTGAATCAGTAGAAGCTGGATAAGGCACTCAAAAAAAGCCTTCTCGTTGAGAACGCTCTTTAAGACTTCTATCTCCTTTCTCTCCTGCCGTTGTAAATTGACCTGGCCTGTACGATTGAAGATATCTTCGAGCGTGTTCTGAGAGAGTCTAGTCGCCTTTGGTCGCTGTGGTTCAATGGAGATATTATGCGTATGCTCAAGGTGGTAGCGAGCTGTTGTTAAGGCGCCTGTAGCCCAGCTGTCACAATAAGCACATATCCATAGCTTATTACCGTGCTTATCCCTTTGTATCTCATCGGTTTTCTGCTTCTTTGAATGCTCCCAGGTCGTGGTAGCTGTCTGCTTGCGTTTCCTCGCCGTGGTAGTGGTGTTGTTAGTTGTGGAGGGGCAAGAGTTTATATGCGGTATTGATGGCTCACTACCACGCTCAGAAAATGGAGTGGACCCGAGCTCTGAAAGTTGGGTGCTGATTATTGACTGGGTATCATCATTGGCAGTGGTGGGGTGAGCTTGGGCGGGCATAGTTGAATATCACCGAATAACGATTAAGTTATGGCTTACAACAGAATGAAGCACTGAATTGCGGAAGCATCTACATGCATGGAAAGAAAGCTCCGGAGAGGTCTGGGCAGACCTTCAACAAGGTCCTGTGGAGACGCGCGTTGCCATAGCGACGTAATAGCCCGCTTGTATATCACGTGCTCAATATTGATTAGGATTCAATAGTAACCCAAGTGTGCATTCCCACAAGGGGACCTTGGGCAGAAGAATAAGTACTAGCCTATGCTATGAGGACAGACGTATCCTTTGTTACCTTGAGGACCTAAGTCAGCCAGTAGATCATCTTCGAGAGTATTGAGATATTGCTTTGTTTGCCTCTGCGCTAACGGCCCTTCTTGTTGTGTGCTGGGTGTTCCCAAGCCCTGAGGACTTGATGGCCACGACTCTATTGTCCCTGGGTGCCCTAGGATGGTGCCTGGTATATCTCAAGAAAATACGTGTTTGGATTGATTAGGTGCTGAAGACTGAATGGTCAGTGATGACAGCAACACACCGTAAAGGACAACTGTAAAGAATTTAGCATTCGATTGTGCCTGGGTTATACTTCAGCGCCAGGCCAGTCTCCGGGAATCAATCTCTGTTAAGAGCGATCCGCGCTTTATCTGATACCATCATACATATTACACTTGGATATGGTAAGACTAACAATGTATGAATGCTCTCCTCAGAGAGTTGTACAGCTTTAAGTCATTGGGAAACCTACATCTATCGTGGTAGTGACGTCTCAGGTCTAGCAGCAACATTACTACTTCGTGGGCAGCACGCTAAGCACTCCAATGAGAACGCACGGAACAAAGTGCCGGAAAACACTGTACAAAATTTACCACTGAATACGCTGTTCGAGCGTTCCGGTACTACCTATCTGCAAAATCAAATCCTTGTTAACTGTGTGGATATATGGCTCCCAATGTCCTATATTTGTGGCTTGTGATACGATTTGGTGAGTCCTCACTGTTGCTTTTCGCTGCCGATTTAGAAGCTGGAGCCTACTAGGGTGTAATGTTCGGTAAGATATCTAGAGGGGTTTGAGTAAAGCCTCTGCAATGCGTTATCTCCCATTCAAGGGTAAAGGGTACCTGACAATTTTACTTTACGTAGTCGACTGTTCTGTGCAGCACACCCAGCCCTTGTACAGCATGGTGGCATTGTGCATGTTCATGTGTGCCAGCGTCAGTATGACGTGTTTGGTAAACCTCCAGCATGAAGGCATTCCAGTCTTAGTGAATGACCAACCGGTCAGGGAATGAAAACCACCAAGGTAGGTTTGTTGGAGGGTTTGGTGTACTTAGCTCGTTCACCTTGTTGTTCACCAGGCTCGACAAATTGTAGTGCTTTGTGCTTGGATGCTAGTGCACTATAACCTTCGTGGTATTCGATTCGACTACTTACTTGTCAACTACACTCGAAGACTATAATATGCCTCCTCCGTATGTGCCACTCAATGCACTACTCCGGAACTACCTTGCTGTAGCCACCTACACGGGACGTCGATATACTCACAATGTGCCTAGGACCTTGCCGATCTTCACCGTGGAGGGCAAGACCTGTGTTGGTCAGTTCTACGCCTTCACTTCGTGAATCTACTCTGATAGCCGACAGTGACCGGGTAAGTGCGGTTCTGCCTCCGGGCATCGCTCAAGACTAAGGGTGTGACCTTCAGTGCCTCCCAAGGCCTAGGTTCTCAGATCCTGGCTGCGTTAGCTCTATCGGGAGCTAAGGGTGCTGTTGTCGATCTCTCCAAGGCCGCCGCTGATTCTGCTGTGAATGATCTCAAGAAAGAAGAGAAGAATGCTGGTCTCGACTGGCCGGATATTCGTGGATATGAGTGTGACACATCATCTGAAGAGCTGGTTTCTAAAACCTGGAATCAAATTGTCGAGGATTTCGGACAAGTGGACGTGCTTGTCACTAACGCAGGCCTGGCTGCTGGTGCTGCTGCGGAGACCTATGACCTCGACAACTGGAAGAAGGTGCTCGAAGTAAATGTCAACGGAAAATTTCTGTTCGCAAGAGCGGCTGGAAAGCACATGATCGATCAAAAGATCAAGGGCAACATCATCATGGTTTCCTCGATGTCAGGGTCCATCGTCAATCGTCCTCAGAAGCAAAGTGCGCACAATGTCAGTAAGGCCGGAGTTAGTCACATGATGCGCTCATTCGCAACGGAATGGGGTGAGTATGGGATTAGAGTCAATGCTCTCTCTCCTGGCTACATCCAGACTGCCAAGACTGAGGGCGAAGAGATGGAGCAGCTGAGTAAGCAATGGCTCGGTATGATTCCACTTCATCGCATTGCTAAGCCAGAAGAGTTTCGAGGGACTGTCGTTTGGATGGCCAGCGACGCATCATATGTTGTGTGGACCTTCAATTGCTAGTTCTTGCATGCTCGCTTGCTGATACAATGTACGCAGATCCTACTTGACCGGCAGTGAAGTTGTCGTCGACGGCGGGTATCTAGCTTGGTGAATTGAGCTAGGATGTACAGACAATAGCTGACATCCAGACCTAAAAATGGTTCTACCATCTCCCACTGACATCAGTAGATTCCTACACTATCTATAGTCACAGACGGCTACGTCGTAATAAAACCGGTGTAACTCCACCTTGATATGCAACTATAATTGCACATAATATAGTGCTAGTTAGGATATTCTGACTCGGCGAACAAAGTCTTGCATTTACCGGAAAAGTTGACATTGCACGGATCCGGCAGTGCCAACCCTTGGTAAGTTAGCCCAGCGACTTAACCGATCGAGCCACAAGATGATAGCTTCACTCTCCGAGCACGTATTGGGTGGAATTCCGATGAGGCACAGATACAGCTCCCGGCTACACCTTCCTTGAACTGGACCCAACGGTCGCGGCTAGCTGATTTTACGACTTCACGATAGGGTCTGCCCCATTTTAAGTATCTCGTGGGGTTGTGGTTGGATCCTGTTATAACTAATGAATATGTGGGAAGCAAAAACACTGGCGTCAATCATGCAACAAGAAAAGTGATCAGTGGGTACTAAATATGAAGCAGACGAAGTGGGTATCTGGAAGGCATGTCCAGCCGCGCCAAATCTAGTTCTGGAGCAGGTTTTATTCCTGAGATAGAGAGGGGCAAAGCCACTATGGCGCCTCCTGTCTTGAGCACATTCAGAATCGAGGTGATGAGTCAAAGCTTCTGTGGTTGCCCGTCGCTGTTGAGTCTTATGTCGGCTTTTGAATCAAGAGCGACGGCGAAGAATTCAGCAGCTCTCGAGCTTCCTCGGAAATGCTCGCAAGCAGGAAGATGACACTAGATCATGTGTGACGAATGATACCCTGGATGTGGCAGGCTGGAGCTCGGTCCTTGGTAAAAGAATCCATTCAGTATCTGCGGTCCAATTGATAAATTAAAATTCTCTGAAAGATTTGCTTAATCCTCACCCTGCTCTATGTCCAGGTACAGCCCTCGTCATTAATATCAAACGTAACGCCTGAAGGACATCTTTCCGGGTTGGCTATTCACTTGAATACTCGCTCAAATAGGAGATAGGTTCATGCCAGCACATTGCATATCATACTATGCGCGGCTCGGTTCGCGCATGGAGCCTATTTCCCGTCTCTCTGTCCTTGCTTACCTATCCAGTCTCGACTCCATCGAGCTAATCGGATCGTTTCACGTGGAACTTGAATTCATCGCCTCGGTCGAGATACACGACTTTCTCAGTGAGGCCCGCCCGGGCCATTTCGGCCTCGAAGTCACAGAGAGGCGAGAGCATGACGTCGTAGTCACTTGAGAGTATTGTAAGTATATGTTCTGTAGCCACAACTTTGTGACTTGTACTTTTTATGAGAGTGGACCGATTACCGGATATGAATAGTAGCATGGAATAGCTTTTCCATGAGGGGAGAAAGGAGCGGGAACGAATTTCAAACAGGTGGGACTCACTCGTAATGAATTGGCACCGTCAAGTCGGGCTGGATGAGCTTGACCAGCGCCAAACCCTGCTGCGCATCCATGGTCACCATCAGAAGTGGCATTTGAGGGCCTGGTAAGGTAGTTCCTCCCAAGTGGATTAGCATCAGGTCAATTGGCTTGCCCGCATGAGTGTACAACTCGGAGATTCGAGCCAGCTCGTTCACGTATAGGGTGTCGCCTGAAATATAATTGCGGTATCCACAAGCGAAGTCCCGGGAATTGACGTCGGCGGAGACTGTGGCGTCTTGGTTGTTGAAGGACGCTGCATGCGCTGGCGGCGCGTAGCCGAGTTCCAGCATCCAGCCGTTGGTGGGCGGGACGGCGCCCAGGAGGTCATTAGCTTTAGACAACAGCCCATCTCCGACGTGTTTACCGGGCATACCCTCAACCCTCAGCCGCGGGAGGATGTATGAATTGAGGTCGGGCTTGGTCGGGACGGAGATGTTGACGAACATGTTGTCCCATTTATCGAGGGCGTGAATATTGGTGAAGGAGTCTGCGTCACTTTTTAACGTGGTGAGGCATGATTTGGCATGTGGCGTGGTGATGATGGGGAGATCCCGGCGCAACGAGGCCTCGACTTCTTTGTCGAAGTGGTCTTCGTGGTAGTGTGATAGCAGGACGAGGTCTATATGTGGCAGATCATGTAGGTCGACAGCAGGATTTGTCCTCCGCATCGATGTCACACCTGGACCAAGGTGGACGTGCTCACCCGCGTGGAGTAGATTTGGGTCCGTCATCAGTCTCATATCTTTCCACTCGATTATAGTAGTAGCGGTCCCGACGAAAAAGAGACTCGCATTATCGTCATTGCTGCGTGAAAATTGCTTGCTCGGGTGAGTCTTACTCGATTTGGGACTGGGCAGTTTCTCTTTGACGGCCGTGGAGGTCGGATAGTCTCTTGTGGGTGCTTGCTTATTCAGGGGATTGATCGAGATGCTGGGTTTCGTGGTCATGTTTCATAGATAATAATGATGTGGGCAAGAAGTGTTGCACCTAAATCTGTATCAATAACAGTAGTGTGTTCGTCCGTTAAAACCGTGTGATGTGGAAGGGTCGATGTCCCACATTGTACAATCGGCGAGTTAATGACGCTAAAATGACGACACCCACCTACTTGGCAGCCGCATACCATTAGTTCAGCGATTTTCTGTCTCAAAGAAATTTACCTCGGGCTGACGGCAATAGAGATTGTTCTAAAATACATTTCGTTGTTTACCCACATTACCAATAGTACATACCCCTCCATTATTCTATTTCGGGTTACATAAGTTAGAAAAACATCATATACCTCTTACGTAGACTCTCTCATATCCAGAAGGCAAATAATCATTTTCGGAAGCTATTGGATATGTCTGTCATTGTTGCAAGTAAGGCGTTTAAGTTGTCTGATTCGTCCTCCTAGACGCTGACAGCTGCTGCGTGCTGACCAGAGGCAGCAGCGGCAGTGCTCCCGCCACCGACATGCTTCTCACGAGAAACGCCTCTCTTGAATCGCTGTAGGTCCCACAGCCGACCCTCGAGGAATTGACCAACAAGAGTGGTGAAGCTGTTCGCAATATTAGCAAGGGCTAGTTCACTCCCATCTGATCACATGATGACCACTCACAAAGCGAGGAAAGCGAATGCCTCGAGAGTCTTTTTCAGGTTGTGCTTGCCGACACCGGTCGGGGAACGATAGCCACCTGCGTAATTATAATCTTGTGCTGCAAAGATGAATGCAGTAAGCCACAGATAAGAGAATATCCAGGCCAGAGGTGCCAGATATCCCTTATAGGCGCTGAGCGCTGGAAGACCAAGCGCAGGGAGATACAGTAAGACGTCAATAGCAGCCTAAGGATAGTTCGTTAGGAGTCGTTGATCACCAAATTAGGCCATAATCAAAGCAGTGGGACACTGACGAGAGTTACCCAGTAAATAAGATGTGTGTTGTGCGAGAACTTGTGAATGAAATATGCTGAAATGGCCAAAACTATAATCGAAGAGATCCAATGCAGTACATGGTTGGCGAAGATGGTTGGTCGGTGCCATCGGGCCGAGTGGTTGGCCGCCGTCCCGTAGTCATTCGTGGTATGTCTCGGCGCCATAGTAGTCACTGGCTGCTCAGAGCGCGTATTGTTGGAGTACCGCACTCTTGACTCCCTTGAAGATTTTGTCAGAGAAGTAAGTGGGGGACTTCGAAGGAGTGCACGACTTAATGGTAGATATATAGGATGAAATTTGCATAATGATCAGAGCACAGCACGTCAACCGCGGTGGGGCAGCCCCTAACCTATTCACTCTGTCATGTCCCCCCTGGCTCCTGCAGGACGTTCATAAAATATCAAATTCGGAAGCAGATTCCGGTCGATTACGGCGAGGTAGACCGGGACAGCGAGGTGGATAACTACTCTACATGACGTCCAATATTTGTGATTCTTGCAATGCTGACGGCAGGATATTGAGGTTCTTGGATGTTCTCTCCGTACTTCACGGGATTTGCTGGAGGTTCCTTGCTGCTGCTGCACATGTGGGAAGGCTACCTAGAATTGCCTCTTCTCCACTACCGACTTGTCAGTCCGAAAATAGCTATGCTGCATGATAAAGCTTGCAAAACCCAACTTCGAGTGCCTTCTTAGCCAATCACATCAAAGACAAAAGTAAGATAAGTGATCCAGTCAAATTACAATGTTTGATTTCCCGCCATAGAATTGACAATGCCCGGCGAGCCTAACATCACAGTGGCAAGGAGAGACGATCCTTGCCTTCCAGTGCACTGGATCTACACCCCGAGAGCAAGGCAAACTGCCGAATTCGGATTTGATATAGTCATAGTTGACACTACGCTTTGGCAAAGATTATTCAATACTACTTCCTCTGCGAAGGGGTTGCATCCGATATGTTAAGGACCCTATCCCGTTGTGAGCTTTCCCGAACTAGGCATCGCTCCGAAGTCAGTAATTAGTTGGGAGATACGATTCTGGGCTATAGCTCAGAGTAGGCATCTCAGAGAAAGTCATTTGCCCGGACTTCCAAGCCTGATGTTTCTAGATCAAACTTTGGACTGTGGTATTAACGCGTTGAGGACACACTCACTCTCAGTCTCTCACCACCGACTTGCGAGAAAACTTGGAGCCAGCTATTGCCTGCACCATTTAGGATGCGAGAACTCGATGTCTGGTCTCCATCATATCTCACATTTCATGCTTCACTGATTACGCAAGGCATGTAAAATAAGGTCAGCTAAAAGGTCATGAGATCAATTAGAGACGACATGACAATCAGTCACAGTTGCCAAATGCTGGATTGCATTCCCAGTCGTCTGGATGGTGTTGTGGATTACGGCAGTGGAGGCATATATTAATCCTTATTGTTCTTCTACTTCCTCAGAATGTAGGAGCATATATACACTGAAGTAATATACTAGAAGCTTCTCTATCATTTCCAAGCGTGCGGAATGATTCCATGAGACTTTCCGTCAACCTTATGATAGTCGGTTGAGCCTCATATTACAACAGATGGTAAATCCGCTAGATAGTAAAGCGCAGTTGAGCTGGACGCACTGCATCATTGGAATAATGGGACGATGCACTCTTGGTGAAAGACAGCTTTTGTACTAAGGTTCTACCCGTAGCCGCAGGGTTTCCCGCCTTCGATATGGCCCTTGCATCAGACCTGCGATGTCCTTGTGCCAATGACTCGCTCGGTCGAAGGTCTTTTTGAAGTGCTCAATGTTATCGGGGCAGATGTGGATGATGATACTGAGGATTTGGGAGATGACAAAATGTTGTCCGGATTTTCAAGTGTTCTAACATCGTCCTTGCGACAATGGTAGTCTTGCTGACACTACCGCCTTAACAGTGATGCACGTTGGGGTTCCCAGACCGTCTATTGCTGAAGCTAGCGGACGCGGTCTATCAAGGTCCCTTTGAAAGCCAGTCTCGATCTATGCACAATCGCTCGACAAGACTTAGAAGCTTCGGGATCATTGATCTGTCAGACCGACTTTTCGCTGGTAGAGCATTGCAGCACCAAAACGTATCCAGGACAAAGTTGCCATGTGCCTGAGCTCCCCCAAGGGTGGAACGTTAGTGAACAACTCGAGACTATGGCTATCAATCGGGATGATTTTCCGCACAATACTGGGGATGAACAAGTCCCTCACCTGGCGGTGGCCAACAGCGAACTGATCCACCCGTTGGTTGCGCCTATGGATGACCCGACTAACTACACCGAGCCCACGAACCATATTCGGCACGCAGAGAGGCGGCATCTGCTCAAACCAAATGTGGCTCACTATTTGACCTGCCCGGCTGCCAATTGGCCATAATGGCACTTGAGGACATAACCAAATCGCATTTCGAAGAATGGTTGGACGAAATGAATTTAGACATCCTTGCGTTCCCAACTGTCGGTGACGTTAACCGAGATTATTCTGAAGACAGAGAGCAATCAATGAAGGATGTGTTGCGGGCGGGCGTGAAGTATGTAAATGGTGGGAGAGCGTTGAAGCATCTGGGTAATCCCGCAATCATGGTCAGCATAAGCGATGCAGAGATGCTAGTCGGGCTGAAAATCATCGGTAAAGCCTACAGCGACAAAGATTCATTGCGGTACGCTTACGCTTTCGAGCGATTTTTAACCGCAGAGAGAAACCACCACTGGAACCCAATTTGAGTTCTGACTTCATTTCCATCAATACATCAGATGACCTATAGGCAGAACCTGGTTACCTCTGTCTGAGTGTCGATCACTTTGAAATTCACTGGGCGGAGATGAGGACGAAAGCGAATTCCGATTAAGCACTGCTGGAATCATTGAAGGCTCGCATATTTAGAGTGTTCTGTAATCGTTAGATGCCTTTGTCGATGGCAAAGAATCGTCCAATGTCGTGGTTCGTGGGTAGAATCGGGCATGGACGAGTCAGTTTGCACAACGAAGGGTCACATCTCAGTATCAACCCGTGCAAGGTTCTGAAGGATCAAGCCATGATTGTGACACCGGCGAAACATATGGATGGTAGAGCTTTTTGCGTGCTCTGTATGGATTAAAAGATGCTCTTGGAGTGGGGCTATAGCGAAAATGATTGAGTCGATATCTGGATCGCAAATCTCCCGGAAGGTCTAGTCCATAACACCATCCGTGAAATTATCAATTCACCTGTCCATTTGTCCAGCATCTGCCAAATGCGCGCTGCTCCCACATTTCAAGGGTCATCAATCACTCTCCCTCCGACCTGGTTGACACATGCTCTAGATATACCCATTCAGTCGGTAACTAAGGCAAGGAGAGCTCTGCCACCACTGTGCAACAAAATCACTTTCAATACCAGTTGGTATCTGCAAACGTCCAGAGAATATCTCCGATAAGTGGGTCAACATCGTCGTCGGAACCCTTTCTGGAAGCTATGCGTCCACTAAAAGCTGCCAAGGTGGTGATCATACGTCCTTTAGTGGTAAATCAGCTTCGACACACCGTCGACGTAGAAAGTTGAACCATCGGAGCTCTTGAAAGCGCTTGCAAATTCGCTAGAGCTCGGCACAAACCAAAAGTGGCGCCGATGTACAACATAGTATGCGAAGCTCCCATGGGACCAGCGATCGAAATTCCCCTTCTATTCGTGCTAATGAACATTGCGCTCAGAACTGGTCTCTGGCAAGAACCTCCGGGATACAAAGCACCGTGTCAACGGCCGAGCTCCTCCAAACCTGGGTAATATCATTCGATCCCAGAGCACCATCAGAAATCGATGTCTACTTTCCCCAGTTTATGACATCCCTTGTTCGAAGTGCTTGATATCTAGATGAGCACATTTACTGACTAATGTCATTTATACAGTACTTAGAGCACATATAAGCCTTTCTATTGGTGAAAGGACGTTGCTTGTACTAAAGGACTTGCTGTTCCCTGAGGATCTGTTCAAGGCAGCCTGCCGTAAAATACGGAACAGCAACGACACCCGGGTTATCCAGGGCATCTCTCGACTGATCTTTGGTGGGTGCCTTTTTACCAGCAACAGTATCTACGAGCAAGCGTTCTGCATGAGGTGCTGGATTCCCGCTTTTCCGAGCAGCATGCTGTTGTCGCACGTCCTAATCAAAGGTGCGAATCTGCGCCAGCCTGTTCGCCAATCTAGAGGTCACCAACGATTATCATTCCCACGATTCGGCACACACAGACCGCAAGCACTGCAGATTCCGAGGAAATTGGCACATCATGCAGGCCAGGTCGTGGTACTTTCGACGCTTAAGGCAGCCGCACGGCGGCGGAGTACCTTGTCTGAGGTAGCGGCACGCAGCAGCCGCTGACCCCGGTAGCAGACGCCACCGCGCAGTCGGGAGCCTAGGGCAAGCCAGCTGCACACTGCCCGCTCGGCCAGCCAGAGCGGAGCCAGCAGCGGAAGGTACCAGGAGAACACCATCGTTCCACCCTGCCGTCGCCGGCCCATCTCTGCTAAGGCCACTGCAGTGACAGCACCCCCCAGCAGCAACCAGCTACTCTTAGTCAAGACGGCAAGCGCGACCGCCGGTAACAGCGCCACCTCGGCTGCGAGTCTTAGTGGCTGCGCGAGGCTGTCGTAGGCCTGACGGACCCGCTGGTCAGCGAAATGGCGGAATTCTGGCGGGAGCCTTCGGACAAAAGCGTCCGAAGCCGTAACGAGCCGCGCGCCGTTGGCTTGCAGTGTACGCATCAGTTCGAGGTTCTCGAACAGTACATCCCCATCATAGCAGCCGGCCGCCATAAACGCGGTCCGGCGGATAGCCAATGTACCAGGGTAGTCCATCCCAAGTCCGCGATTAAGCAGGATCCGGGCGCTGTCCCAGGCTGCGTGCCAGGGTAACGGGTCGAAGTAGTTCTGAGGGACAACGATGTCTGCGTCGGCCAGCAGGGTAAGCGTCCGTGCGAGCGACTGGTCGTCGTAGCGGACATCATCATCGGCGATAATGACGCGTTCTGCCGTTGTCGCCCGCACGCCAGTGATGACACCGTTGACCTTGCCGTTACGGTAGACCACATCGGGAGCGGGGGCAATATGAGTACTAAACGACGCCCAATGGCGATGGTGTTCCGCGAAAACGGGAGGTGGCGATCCGTCTACTACCAGGACGTCGCATCTCGCACTGAGTTGCTGTAGATAAATGGTGAGGTCTGTCAGCTCGCTCAAATGGTTTTCCCATCGTAGCGGGAGAAGGTAACAAGGATGTGCGCTCGCATCCCCGGCCGCCGGTGTCACCTGGTCGGCGGCAGCTCGGTCGCAGGCCGCAGTGGCAGCTGCCCAGCCTTCCAGCAGGTTGCATTCGAATTTCGGTTCTCGGGGATGCTTGTCCAAGCGAGGAGAGACACAATGTTTTTCAACTTTTTTCTGCTTGGCTGGACTGATTCCGGGAGAATAGGAGCCGCCCTCTCGGCCGACGGCATCTGGAGACCTGCATCGAAATGGCTGCTGGTTTTTAATTGACGATGAGGTGGTACTTGACTCCCTCATACTGTGTCTCCGTCGCATAGGGACTTGAAAGGTTGATGAAGATACCGTCCTATGACATAGGCTGCTGTCATCACCAGGGTAAACTGCAGATTGGAAATCGGCAGTCATAGCGACGATTTATGCTTGCATCGACGTTGCCACGTCAGCTTTGGGTATGGAAGCTGAAAACACGTCTGGAGATAGCCTGCAACGAGTTTGATATAGCTCACCAACCTGTGCTCTTGTGGAACTGCGCTAGGGAGTAAGTTAGAGGGCATGATGGTCTCACCGGCGTCAGATCCCGAATGGCAAGTCCCCGGACCTATCAATGAACAGATCTCGGACGAAACATCCAACCTTTTGACAGGTTGATATACTAGCACAAATCTCGAACGGCTATTGCACCCGGGTGCTGAATTAGTTTCTATGTGATGTGAAGGTCGCCTGGAAACTCCGCCAAAGTGGATAGTGTCTATGCTGACGCCATGCCTGGCCGCCGTCTCGAAACTTTGAAACCTACTTCTTTACTAAGCAAGCTTGACCGATGACGTCAAACGTGTGAGAATCAGATATGAAACCTCGACGTATCCTTGCTAGCTTGCGGCCATTCCGCCGCTCGCGAATATCCAGCCGTTCGCAATCCACAAATCATTCTCCACTACGAAATCCGTCGACTCGACACATAGTACGCAGCTGTCCTTAGAGTCGCTGTTGAGCTTCGCGTCTCTTGATCGCCAGCAAACTCTACGTCGCCCATCTCTCGCGTTGATCGATAGTGATAACGATACACACGGACCTTGGAAGACATCGGTGATTCGGCGTGAAGCGACCACGAGTCGCATTAATCCTCGGTCAAACAAGCATGCCAGACGACTGGAGCTCAACCGGAAAGCGGCAACAAAACGTCGTAACCGACAGAAAAGTTTTGCGGAAAATCTGCAAAAGAAATGTCGTAACGAGGAGGTAAAGATGCTTGAGCAGTCGGCGCTCGTGTGTACCTTGCATGACGAGGTGGTTATTCTCCGAAATGAGGTGACGAGGCAAAGTGTTTGTGGATGTAAGCCTCTGCGGAGTATTTTGCCAGCACTTGCTCTCTGAGACCGCTCCTACAGCGTTCAGCTCATAATGTCGAAGCGGCCTCTGCACGCACGGAATAGCCACCGGCGGAGGCGTGTGGCGTGCCGCTAGAAAAGCCACTTTCGTGTATCGCTTCTCCCGAGTTTTTATGGCTGGAGTTTGGCACGCCGAAGATGTAGCTTTGGGCACAGAACAAAAGGATATTGCGCAGCAGTACATCTCGTTAGCTACGGATTGGTCTTCAGCCGCTGGCCTTGGGGTCAGTCTTTCTTCCGGTTCACTTCTGTCGCTTCAAGGAGCATTTGAAGGTTCGAAGAATCTGGTATGGTCTCCCACTGGCCCCCAATTGACAAGTAGTAGGCATGTCCGCTAGGTGGGTGCAACTGATGAACCCTATAGTTTGAATAACAGGTGCTCTGCTTGGCGGCTTTGGAATAGTGTGTTGTCCTGCTCCTGTAGTCGCGGACTAATCGTCTACCTATGTAACTATCTAGATAAGGTCACCAATAGCGTTATAACAGAACCATCTGTGGTCGAAATTCTCCTGACTATATCTCTTGGAGCGATTCGCAATATCCATGCAATTGCAATCACCGACAAGAATGGTACGGGGCCTCTGCTTCCACCTCAGGAGTTTTTGTGTGGGTACTTGCCGGCCAAATAAACTGTGGTTCGCACCCTTCCGCCGGGTGCGCTCGATCACGTGACATCGTCGTTTCTAAGCACCGATCGTGGCTGAGCACTGAATTTTGTAGCAATGTACTGTCCTATCTTATGTGCAGAGACTACTTGATGACCTCTACTTCCCTCGTCTAGATTGCTGACGTCGCCAAGTACCAGCTCTACAGAGCCATCCTATCTCCGGTCTGTTGCCTTCAAAACGCGGACGGGGTAGCATTAATCTTAACCACATGCGTAATATCATGGTGGATCATTTGCCAGGAAACGCATTATGGTGAATCACAATTCTCGGTGGTAAAGTTCAACACCATGAAAACAAAGGCATCGCCTCGAGGACAGTATCTCTATGAGCTACTGATTTCCACCACAGCCCACTTACAACACCATTCACATCGCGCTGACTGTTAAGCTGACCTAGAGCTGCGTCTTGAGCGCACCACTGTGACCCTCCCTAAATATTCAAATCGAACAAGAAAGTCGGGCGTCCGAGTCATGGGACCTAGATTGCGCGCGTCGTTGCGTCCAGGTGGCCACTAATTTGATCAAGCTTTTCCCACACGAACTACTGGCACAGGAGACAAATCAATTGCTGCCTTGGTGGGCTGTGCTACACTACTTGAGCCAAGCCATAGCAGTACTTCTTCTGGAGCTCTGCCTGAGTGCTCAGCATGTACCCAACGGTGCAACTGAAATAGCCAGTTGCCTGCGCAAGGCAATGTCACATCTGTGTGAACTAGGTGACAACTCTCTATCTGCATACAAAGCATGGAGAATATTCAAGCAGTTCTGCGCAATGATATCAGGGAAGTTCGGCCATAGCGACATCGATCATACCCCTGCCGAGCGGCCTTTCCCTCTCGGTTGGACTCAGGCTCATGAACCAGATATTAATGACTTGTTATCACGGCTTCCCAATCCAATTACGCCTCCGACTGATCGAAATTCACGAAAATGAGAACGGCACAAGAATACATTGATCGAATCATTTCTCCAGCGCCGACTCTGCGTCAGTTCGGAAAAAAGATGGGAATAAGAACAATAGAATGCTTTTTAAAGAGAAGCTTCCGAAACGCATAATCTGCAG